CCACCAAAGACCCCTATCGCTATGGTTCCTCCAATTTTCCCTGACCAAAAATTAAAGGGTGCGACGTGTGCCCCGAACAACGGCTAAATTGCATGCTGACATCACCGGAACAAGATGCCTCAACGGGACCCCTTCGCGCCACAGTCAGTTTCGTAACCCCATGGTTTACAATATCAGCTCGATTGCGTGGCCTCCGAGTTGCCTACAAGGGCCGTGTCCTGTCCTCATGCATGCACACCATTGGAAAGGCAAATGTGCATGTCACAAGACAAAACGGCCAAACATGAGTCAACGCTTTGGGCTTCATGGCAGCCTGACATGAACATTCATGTTCAAATCGCTCTCGAATTTGGCTTCCCAACAGGTTGGAAGTTTTTTTTTCCCCTTAGTGAGGCTGATGTTTTAACGAGAAGTATAGGGAGCCCTGTAGTGAACACCTTGCCGTACCTGCAAAAGCATGGCTTATCAGTGCGCAACGCACGGCCTGGCATTGACGCTCCCAAGGATCGGGCCAGGTGCTACGAGAGAGGTAGACGTGTTAGACCATTTGACTGTCAGAGATGTGTATGTGTTCAATCGATTTCAATCGCACCCTGTTACCTGGAATTACGGCAGAACTTTCCCCGTGGTTTCTCCAACGCTCCTTCTTCAGCAGCCCAGCCTGGATGCAAACGACATCTTTGGATGCATCCTATGCTGGAAGATGATATTTCCCTTTTTCCTTCCATGTCTTAGAAGGGTAGCGCAGCAAGCCGATTGTATTTTTGTTTCTGGTGTTTTGTTGAGCGGCAGTTCCTCTTCAGTCAGAAATGGGTTTGCTCACAACATCTTCTCAGAATGATAAGCGGCATGTTGAAGTTATTTGCCAAGAAGCCCCATTACCCCACTGTTCATAGTCCAGATGGACCGCAGGAGATGGCCACGCTGCATTCTTTATTCACCAAGCGACCCTGGAAGCCACTCCCGCGGGTAGCGGGTAGGGCGGGGCATGGGCGACTTAGGACGCAGCTCCTGCAAGGCTGGAGCGCAGGGGAGAATGGGATTCGGATTGGCTGAAACCATGCCGTTGCTCGTGTTGACTTACGAGCAACTCTTTGCTGAATGCAAGCAGCTTACTTGTAGCTGCAACCTTTGACTGGGTCCCTTATACGATGCATTCGGGGCCAGCACCTTGACCAGCTGAGTTGAGATCAGCCGGTTTTTGGACCGACGACCCTTCAAGGGGCTTTTTTTTGCATGGGTTACACTTTGCAGAACATGTGGAAGCAACAATTCTTGTCCCGGCGTTCTGTTCGATTCGCCTGGAAAGCCGGGGGCGGTTTGGCAGCGTTGCCACATGATTCTTCTTCACTCCATGGTACCTGGGAGGGTACACGAGAACAACATGTCCAGCTAGAAGTAAAACTACTAGTCCGCTACTCCAGTCTAAACGACCTGGACTCAAGATTCGTCTTGGGACATGGGGAAAACACAAGGCCAAACGGTCGGTCTTGGTTGTAGGGCGCTTGAAGAGTAGAGCCACTCTTGTCTGGACCCCGAAAAGCTATGGAACATGCTTGTTCCGGTTATCCGACGCAAAATCCCATCAAGCGGCGGCATGGACCCGTTCAGGCAGACTCGGCGGCGTGCTTCCGTTGTTTGAGCCGGGAGCCGGTGCGGAAGCGCGCAGGTCGCTGGCAAAGTCGATGCCTTGAAACGTTCGTCCTTTCGTTCTGGCCATGGTTTTGGGGTTGGTCCAACACACATCATGAATCCAGAGAGGGGTGGCCCAGGGGGTCAAATTATGTTCCAAAGGCTCAAGCGAGGGAACGCGAGAGAATCGAACGTTTCAGGGCTGTTACGACTCCCTTTTCGCAGCGACTTTTGGTGCGGATGCCGCCCACGGCTGAATTTATGTGTATAAACACATATCATATATATATATATGTATAGTATATATATATATATCAGACAGAGGTGCAACCAGTGTCATTGGGCAGTGCCTAAAATCGTCTTGGCAATCCTGTAAACGGGTGAGGGTATAGGTTCTTGTGTTGACCAACATGGCGCAGATGGGCTTTTCGGTTGCGCGAGGAGATTGTTGTTCGGTTCAATTTTGAAGCGGCAGGCCGACAGCCTGAGGCTGGTCTGCAAGTTTCCCACCTTTTTGCTCGGAGCACGCCTGCGCAGCAGGTCAGTTTCTTGCCTGAAGCCATGCCATCGATCAATGCAGCGACTTGGTTTGCCTCATGCCTTTGGTTCATGCTTGACCTCAAGAAGCCGGTGCCGTTTGAAGGGTCCCTTTTTGGTTTTGTGACGCGTACCCACATGGCGATCAAATCTTAGTTCGGTCTTTTAGACGAGTGCAGATGCAGAGGGCAAGTAAATGCCCTCATGCAAGTGGTCAGAAAGGCCTCATGCAGATGGTCAAGTATTGCCCCTGTGGCCGCGAGGGTGGGGGGAGTCACGTGTCAAAGCTTTTTTTTACCTATGGCAGTCCAAGCGTGGCTCTGCAAGGATCCGTTGCGGCAGTTGCCGCCAAAGCCAATACTGCCAGTTCCCAGCTGAAAGCTGGAAAGCTGGAGAAATGGAAAGGCTTTGTCCCACACAGCTGTGCAAGACTAGTGACTTCCCCAGAATTAGTTCCCCTTTATACTTTTTTGCTTTTCTGGGTTCCCTTTGTTTTCCGCTACCCAGGCAAACAATATATTTGTTGCTGGGGTCCTAATTCCAGCCAAGTTGACTGAAGAGTTGCCTCAACTGGCTCAACTGGACAAACGAGGGTTGCACAAACGGACGGCAGACGGGACATGCAATCAACATTCCTTCGGCGCTTGCCGGAACGTTTGGCGATCGTGATCGCATCGTTTGGTGCTCGCAAGGGCTGGTAAAACAGGAGACGACTTGAGTGTGCGCGCAGAAGGGTCCAGTGATGTACGAGCGGGCAGGAGAGTTTCAAAAGACTGCCCTGGACTACCCTCGTTTGAAAACGGTGCGTTTGGCCGCTTCCATGATTGGAATTCAGGTAGACTTTGGCTCATCATGCCTGGGATTAATTTTGGCCATGTTTCACATTCTGAGATTCACATGGACCAGAGTCACATAGATGTTTGGCTGGGGGCATCTGAGGTAGATTCCCTTGCGGGCCACTTCTCGCTGGCCAGACTACTGGCTCACGGTGTTTCTAATCTGGTCCTGCGGCTCATGTTGAGATCGGCTTGTGACGTATGCCGGGGCGGCGGGGTATCGTTTTGAGGGGTACCTCTTTTTTTGGGTTTGGTTCAACGGGTCAGCTTCTTTGTCAAGGGGTCGGGATACGCGGTTTCTTCTTTTGAGTTGACAACGATGTGGAGGTGTCTCAACCAACAAGGGGCTCCTGCCAAAAGGCCACGCCTAGGTTAAGTCATGAAGCACCTTTCAGCTGGATATACGGGGTGCACACGGGGCGGGGGTCTCGCAGCTGGCAGTCGCCCGCTTTTCGCGAGAGCCGGCCCGCAGCTTGTCGCTTTCTGGCTTCGGGCTTCGCGCAAGCCGCGGGCCCCGGAGGTGTGAGACATATGGCCGTGGTGGTCAAAACCGTTTTGGGATCCCAGTTTGGGGTTTTCGGTGAATTCACCACCCATGTTAGAACCTATTTTAGTGGTTGGATTGAATCGGATGTTCACTGGGGGTACGATTTGGATTTAGTTTCAGGAACCAACTTGCTCAATGGCTGAGCCCTTGGTGGTTCCCAGCCATCCGGTTCAACTTAGCTTTTTGGCCTTTTAGTTGCTTTAGGCTTTAGTGGCGGTTTCCATTTCACCCACTATTTAATATTATTTTTTAGCAGGGGATCTGAGGGCAGCCCAGATCCAGAGGATGTTTGTCTTCCAAAACCCTCCTGACCCATGATTGTTGGAAAGAAAGTTGGTTTGCGCTTCGAGAACGCCAAAGTGATGAGACTGATCGGGCAGGGGGATGGACTCCTTAGTGTCAATCAGGGCAAGCGCCCCTTTCATGAAGTGGGAGGCATTTATTGGTGTGCTACACTCATCCAAAAGTGCATCCTACTTCATGGGGAACCCCTCAAGAGTCAAGAGTGACTTGACAATTGGCGACATGTTCTTTGCTTTCCAGGTGCCCAAGTCCTTCCCTCCCAGGATTGTGTATGTAGTTTGACGCAAACGAGTCTGGGGAATTTGAGAGGTGCACGTGACGGGTCTCTTGCGCTAAAGGGCAACCTGTCATGTCATGGTGTTGGACAGACAAATAAGGTTCTCTTGTTTTGAAATGGTTCCGTGTTGGGCACCCTCGGGCAAGTGTGTATCTACAATCGTGCGTAGGGGGCGGGAAGGGGCCACCCGATTTTGTCCAAAGAATAGGCAATCTCTGGCGTGCATCGAGTGTGTTCTGCCGTTGGTGGAAATACATCCCACAACGCACGGGTGTGGATTCAGGCCGATTTGTCGCCAGCTTGTTTGGACTGATGCTGCCCTTTTTGCTTGTCCGTTCTGGTCAGGCGAGGAGCCATGGCTTAATTGCTTACCTCACATTTTCCTTCGCCTGACTGACCCACGCCGGCGTTTCACTTGGGCTTGCAAGGTAGGTCGCAACATTGTCCCAACCAAATCACAGCCTCAACAATGCCAGGTAATGCCATCACCGCTGGGTTGGTTGGAAGAAGCCATAGCTGCGAACGCAACCGCGACCAAACAACACGGGTGCAACATGCCATCACAACTGCAGCTATGACTGCAAGTTCTTTGCCAAACTCCCCGTCACACCAGCACCTTCCACAGAAACGGACAGTAAAGAGCTAGAAGATCAAGAACATTTGCACAAAGCGCAGCGTTTGCTGCAGCTAAGAGCCAGTAGCAAGTGCAGCAAAGTAACTCCGACTTCAACCGCAGCTTGCCGTCAAAGCGCCAGCAACAAGCGCAGCAAAGGGTAAGCTTTGTTTTTTTGTGGTTTTCTCAAACTAGTCTTCCGCAAAATGGCAACGGCTTCCTTGTGGTTTGCCTTTTAATGCCAAACACCAGGGGCCACTTTGAGAAGCTCCGGTCTTGGGGCATTTTTGTGCTGTTTTTGCGCCATGGCCGCCCCCTCTGGTGCGCCCCACACTTTTGCCCCGGCACCGGCCGAAGCGAGGGCCAGGTCCAGTGTGCCGCGGAAAGCGAAAGCGGAACCCGAGGCGCACGGACCTGAAAGACGTTTCTTCCCCTTTCGGGCGGCGGCGGTGTCCAGACTGGGGCCCTCGAAATCGATGGCTGTCTCTTTGGAGACCAGAGTTGTGGGATCAAGGGGTTTATCCAACCACTTCTGTGATACAAGGGAATCCCCTGTTCAAATGGGGGTAGTCTTTGGGAGACCCTTTGTGTTGTATCGCAGAAGTGGTCATTTCCCACAGCCCTGTTGGAGACTGTGCATGGAAACCAAAGAGCTTGGTGCATGAGGATGGTTCTGACATGGGCTGGTGAGGTCGAACTAATTAGTTCACTTTGGGCCGAGAGGAAACCTAACTGCTGGAATGAGGGCGGTTATTTCAAGATGCGGAGGGACAGAGAGTACTGAGGAACTGTTTTTGCTTCATCGCGTTTTTGTTTTTCACAGGAATTGCTGGAAAGGATTGGAAAGGCAGGCGCGCTCAAGTTGTACTACTCGTCATCTACGGCATGCTTCATGTGTCAACCAGACAAGGGCCACACGAAGCCTTCAGCAGATGTTCCCCAAAAATCTGGCAGGTGAAAGATGTGAAAGCCCCCGCTGGTGGGCGCTACTGGCGCCCCCAGGGCCAAGTGGAGGAGAGTGCCCGACAAGAGGTGCGCGCCCTTCTCCAAAGGACCCCCGCCGTTGGATTGGCGGCACATGGTGTGTGGCACGTGGGTGTGGAAGGAACACGCCGTCGGTTTCGGCGCCTCGTTCGTTTTTGGGCCAGTTGCACTTGCTTAAGTGGTGCCATCAACACAAACGGGTTTTGCATCCCATGCACTGACCAGCTAAGAAGTTGACGGGTTCACCGGGGGCCCTGGCTTCCATCTTGCGACTCGGGGGCATTTCGGGGCACTGAACATTGGGTGCGTGCTTCGTGTTGCCGTGTGGAACCATCTGATCGGAATGGCGCCACTGTTTGAAGCTGTGCCAATCGGATTTATTGTTTGCTCTTGTGAAGTTCTGGGGTTTCACCTGCTTCAAGCAGGTGAAGCCTCATCCAATTCCATTGGGAACGTTCTCAAATGCAACAACAAATTAACACTTTTATTGTCTGTCGGCATTGACGCTGGCTGCGGCCGCCAAAAACCACGTTAGACAGCGGCGCGGCATGCCAGTGTCAGGGGTAAAGCGAAGACGTGCAAAGACAGATTGCAGGCAGATGAAAGCACACATCAGTCGAACAGTCAGAGTTTGAGCAGGTTAACAATTGGGCTTTTGGGCATCAACAGAACTTATGTGTCAAGTGAAAACTGCAGTGAAGACAATGCAGGCAAACATGTTTAGTACAGAATCATGCCTGCGTACAGCGGATGTGTTGGGTTTAAGGGTGAGGGTAAGGTGAGTTGACCCAGGGTTTAACACATGGTAGGTGGGTCACGGTTTACGCCTCCGGGAAATAGTATGTGAAACGTAGCCAAGCTGAAAATGCAAGAAACGTGATTAGCAAACTACAGCTGGGAGTTTAGCTGAATTCTAGCCGTTGAATCCATTTTGGGCGTTAAGAGTTTGGTTGAAGCGTCCACGCGCAGTTCGCGTCTGCGGCAAGCGCTTTTCTGCATGCATCACGATGAAGAACAGTTCAGGAGCAGCACAGGGTAAGCAGCATCAAGCATGTGGGTGTGGCTCAAAATTAAACAGGAGAGGTTACACAGGTTTTGGTCCATGTTTTCCACTTACCAGGGCAACCCATTTTGGAATTCCGTTTTTTTGAGCCACAGCCATGTCATGTCATGTCGTCACCGGAGGCAATTTCGGACCCTTGCCTTATCCCCGGTTCCGTGAGCGGATTGGACCAATCCGATGTTGCCACTGGCCGGGCCATCTCAAAGGGACTACATGATCAACACATCGGAACGATATATGAATGATGTGGAGGTAAAAGGTATGTGGAGATACAAGGTGTATATATATATATTATAGAAATCATGTATGTATATATATATATATTATCAGCTTTCGCTAGGGTGGTTTTTGAGAAGTCTTTGAGCCCAGGAAGCCGCTAGAGAACGACTTCTCTGGGTGGCAGATGCCTTTTCCCTTCGAGCTGCCGAGCGGAGAGCGCTGTCCCATTTGTGCACTGGGGGCCGCTTGGCCGAAGGCTCTCCAAAGATCAGGGCGATCAAAACACCCCAGCAAATTTGCACGGACAACTGTTCATGCGACGTATGTGAGTCGACATGGCTTTTGGGACCCCAAACCCCAAAGGGGGCCTTCGGCCCTTTGTTGGGTCTCTTGGACAATCATTGGACCGAGGTCCCATTAAGGCTGTGGCCAGGTTTGCCGCAACCAAGTTGCGGCCCAGCTGAGGCGACCATTTTGGAGCCTTGACCCTCAAGGGGAGTGTTTACCGCCATGATTGTTTCTTGCTCAGGTTGCGGGGAAGAAGGGCAAGCCTTGTTTTAACATGCTGCTGGGCCTGTCTCCCTGAATCATCTTACCAGTTTTTGCCTCGGATGACTGCCGGCTTGCTGGAGTTCTTGTTTGTTTGCTTCGCTTCCCCGCTTCCCGTTCTTGTGCCTGTCATTGTCGTTTGCTTTTTGTTGGCCCTTGTGCTGATCCCAGCCGGTCAGTTTCGCACCCTTGGCCTTGAACAATCCGTGTCTCTGCTTTTGCTTCGGAGAAATGTCTCGGGACCTTTGGCTGCCGTGTTCGCCCTTCTTTCTCGACCCCAAGTTGATGCCGTTTTTGTCTGATCCTTCCGTCACACGAGGAATGCGGCGACGTGAACTGCGCGGCGTACCGGCCAAAGCATCCCGAAGTGCGGGCGGCCATCGAGGAGGTCGTGGCGCGGTTCGCTCAGCAATACCTGGCCGATGGCATCCAGACATATGTCTCGGTGGGGTCTGGCCTGCTAGCAGCCTGGACTCAGATGTAACGAATGGCCCATGCCGAGTTTCCAGTTTGAAAGGGTTTCGTCACAGGACAAGCTACAGGAAGTGGCCCCAAAACGTCCCTAAATAAGCTGCTTTCCTGTAGAGTGTCCTGTAACCCGGGTAGCTTAGCAGCTTCACTGTGATTGGAGTTGTTGCCAGTCACTAAGCGGGAACATGCTTGTGACTGGTGGCCAGCAACGTTGAAAGCCAGGGGTCGTGGACATCCACTTTCTGAGCAAAAGGTAGCCCACTTGCTGAGCAAAAAGCTTGGACGCCAACTCATGGTTGTTGTTGGGAAACATTTGTCATGTTTGCTTATTGTGGTTTAGTGGTTGATTATCCACACTTACCTGCTAAAATTTAACTTTTCGCTCCCCTTCCAACGTCAGCCAAACAACAATTTTAGCCTACAACATGGCTTTGGTTTCCTTCTGGTTTCAAGACACTCGAAAAGTGGGGTACTTACTCTCACAAGAACACACCCAAAGGCACAGGACTGGTTCATCCTCGAGAAGCTGAGTGCTCTGCATTTGGCGCCCTCCCGGGCCATCTTCGTGGATCTCCGCACGGCTCACCCGGCGATCGCCTGCGAGGGTCGGCAGCCGCTCGGTCGGGTCAGCGGGTAGCGCTGAGGTCAGCGGGTCAGCGGGTCAGCGGGCGGCGCACTGGATGTTTTCGGGGGTGTTTTTTATTTTTAGCAAGCGACGAGCGTTTCCACCCATTCCAAGGAGCTGTGGAGGCATTTTCCGATTTGTTAGGTTTTGCTCAGGTCAAAGTCGAGGGGTTGCTATGACATTTGCCCAACATGTGTAGCTTCTTGTTCAAGACTTGACTCAGCAGTGCAGAATTACCGTTTGTTTATGCATGTGTGTTTCGGCCTACTGCATGTCAATGGCATCGCTTCACAATGTCTTGAGATGTCTTGAGTTGTGGCATGGCACCCCTCACTTTGCCCTGTTGACACTAGAAAGATGTGGGGAGCACCAGCCAGGCATTCGCATCGCGCCTGTTTCTTGCAGTTGGGGTGCTATCTTATACCATGCCGAGGCCGCCGTTCATTGAGCCATTCGTTTTCCTGGTTCTCGTAGAGGTTAAATGGACACCTACCCTTAGCCACCAAGCCATAGAATCCAAACCGCCAACCAGCGGGAAGCTGAACATAGTGGTATTCATTGTTTGTCTCAGTACACTTGTTCCCTCCTTCTGGTTGTCCCTTTTGCAACATCAAAGGATCCACCCCCCGACTGAAATCCCTAGGTTTCACCCATATCAGGTCTCAATAATGTTGGGGCTCTCTTTTGGCGAAGCAGGGAGGTTAGTTTGGGCCGCTGAAATCCTGTGACTATGACCGTTTTCTTGTTGGTTCTGAGCAGGGAATGAGAAATGGAATGAATGCTATAAATGGGGTCATTATTTTGACAGTTTCTGGGGGTTATCAAAGTCAGAAAATGGGGTTGTTTCCCTTTAACCCACCACTTAGGGGGTGACTTTGATCATGGTGAAATAATGAGGCCACATCCAACTTTCCTTTAGGGGAGCCCCGCAAAACCGGCTCATTCCCAACCCCCTGTGTCGCCAGGTTCTCGGGTGAGGACGCCTTGGACATGACCCAACTGGGCTTCAACTCCTCCCTAGGCCCAGAGTTCTCCTTCTCGGCCGTGGTCACCTTTGGGTCGCGCTGCGAGGGCACACGCCTCTTCGACTTCTGCAATGGCACCTCGCCGAAAAGTTCCAAGATCCGAGTGCTCACCTATGCCTTTGCTTAAAAAAATATTGCTCTTCCCCTCCCCCCCCCACCGGGACGATATTGAAAGATTAGGGCCCAGGGCTTGCCTGTTTTTTGGGAAACACGCACCCCCTGTAAGATTGGAAGTCCATGTTTAGCGTCCCAATACGCTTATCCCGTCTCGGCACCAAATTGACGTTTTTCAGTTGCCCACCAAGGTCGGTTCGCTTCCAGTTTCATTTGTGGGCAGCTTTTAGGCCCGAAAGGCTTTGGACGAATCAACTTGCGTCCTTGTCCCGGCAGCGTTGCTTAACCTGCTGCAGCTTGACCAACCATGTGCCACTGGGATATAGGTTATTGCTGATTTATTTCGGCCCTTGGCTTCTATGTGATGTCAGGGGTGTTTTTTAGGTTTATTGGCTAGACACTGCTTATCTTGTGACTCCACGGTGCCGCTGGACAAGCAGTAGCTTATGCAGGATGAGCTAAAAGGGAAGTCCAGTTGGCCCTGACTCCCCTCTGGATCAGCACACCTGGATTGTCTTTGACTGTGGCAACGCCCAAGAAGTCATTGTGTGGCTGGCGGACGTCTCATCATTCGTGATTTATGCACCTACCCCCCTCCAGATTTCTGGGGGCGAGCTGCTTGTGGATTGATGTCGCCTCTTGGCTGCGGCTGCTTGCAGAGCCGACCTGCAAATGTGAACGTAGGTGTGTTTCCAAGTTGGTTCTGATCATTTGCCACAAGAAGACTGTAGCCCAAATCCGGTGATTGCAATGGAATGTGGAATGACGCTTCCTTTGCCTGCTGCACTTTTGCCATGAGCTGCAGGCCAGCGTTGCAAGCCGAGGCATTGAGGAAGACAACATCTATGTGGAACTGGGCCCTGAAGAGCAGGGGGCCATGATCTTTGGCGTGCGCAGGAATGGCGAGGATGCGCAGGCATGCGGGCATGCCGCCTCGCACAAAACATGTGGCTCGATTCAGTGGAAAGAAGGGACAGAAGGCGCAGAAGGAATGTTTAACGAGTTACCTGCTGACGGTGGTGATGATGATCGCGGCTTGGGGTGCGAATGGCGAACCTTCTTGCAATGATTTTGGGTGCCTTTCCACATGCAGACTCAGCCTCTTTCCAACAAGTACGGGATTGGACAAAGACTCTTTGAAGACGATAATGCGATGAATTGTTTCATTCCTGCTCAACAAATGCCTGACCAAGCTTGCCGCTCGATCCTAGCGCTGCGAAAACCCGGTGTGTTGCATCCGGGGCTGCGAAAGCGCGTGGTTCCTCTTGAAACCCCCAGCTTTCAACTTTCATATCTGAGACCCATTGAAGCCATGGACATGCCCAAGGCCTTCCAGGTACCGTCTGCCCATCCATGGAATGCCAGAACAGGGGTACGGTCTGCCCATCGAGCTTCGAAGCCGGTCACGTTTTGAAGCCCAGTGTGGGCGCAAATCGGAATCGCTACCTGCTACTCGTTGGCAGTGCTGACTCGAAGAGGGCGTTGGAGTTTATCCTTTCTGTGGTGAAGCATGGGCTTGATTTGTGTTGGGTACATGTTGCTACGTCGAATCGTGCTGAAAGCCTTGCGAGAGAAGTTGAAGATAAGCCAAGCATCGGCACTGCTGGGTTATAGGGGAATCCTTCCCTGCGACGGAAGTGGTGGAATGGGTCTCTTTTGCGGTGGTTCCACACCGGGATGGATTAGGATTGGCGCACCTGGCCCTACTTTGGTTGGGCATTGTCAGGGCATGACTGACTGGTGTTTTGGGGGGCATCGTGTTGGATCGAGGCAAGCTTTGTTTGGCAACTCGAACGGGAAACCAAAGGGAAACCTTCCATCATAGGGGGTCCTTCATATAATCCGCTCCCCCTATTAATAAATACGGCCCCCCCCCCCCTCCCCAATTAAAAAAAATCCACCCGAAAAAATATGTTTTTTTAATTGGGGTTTTCGGAAATTTGTATTTTTGCTTTTCCAACAATGTGAGGGTTCACATAGGATTTGGAGGAAATGGATTGAATTGTAAGGTCCGCGAGTAAGCGGTTTAGTAAGGAAATTTTTATGTATCATTATATTTGTTTTTCAGTTTACTGGTTGACTGCTAGACAGTCCAGTGCTCGAGAAGGCAGTGTGGGTTTCAAGACAGCCAGACATGCATTCAGTGATAGGAAGGCAGCCAGCAGTCAGCCAGCAGGGCACAGGCAGAAAACTCAGACCAGACAGCCCCCTAATAAGGATTCCAAGACTTTAGTATTGGTTTAGTATGGGCGCAATGGAAAATCAATTGTGCGGAGTGGAAATCTGGTCCCGGGCCCAGGATTTCCATTTATTATTAATGGGGGTCATTCATTAGTAGGGAGAAGAGATTAAGAGACACGTGTTTCTGACTTTGCCCGTTGGGAGCGCGAATGCTGCAGTTCGCAGCTAGCATTCTGGACCATGCTTTCTGATCCTCAAGGGAACTCTTCCGTGCCTCTGCAAAAATCCGCGTGCAATTTAGGCGAAATCCATACACAAGTTTCTTGCGGGCAAGAATGAACAGTTAGCATTCAACTAGTGTTTGCTACGCGAACCTGGCACTGGAGCTTGCATGCTCATGGGCCGGAAAGCCCAAGTCAACAAAGCGCGCATTTCTCCAAAACAATGTTCCACTGATTTCCGTACTGTTCCCAAACTTTTCCCGCAGATGTCCGAACATGCCCACCCACGCATGTCCGGTTTCTGCGTTTTTGCAAAAACAGCAAGGGACCTGCCATGCGGCGCCTCAAAGCAAATGGGAACGCCAGGCATGAAGCCAAGGTAAGTCGAGCCGCAGTGCGATTTTTTCATAAGCGCGTCCAGAAACACCACTGGATAGCAACTGCTAAAGGCAATGTCCGTCAACCTTTGTAGTTTGTAAGCTGTCTTGCGTCAGTCCTTTTTTTGTTTCTACGGAGGGTCCAGGTATCAAACAGGCAGCACTTGGTGTTAGCCAGAACCCCACGGCAATGCACCAACCCCACCATGGTGTCTGAATATTGCACGTGCATCGTGCCAGGTAACAGCTGGTGGTGCTTGGCTCGTCGGGCAGCCGCATTTGTACCTCTTCACGGTCAGTGCCACGGGGATGCTGCGGATCTACATCGACAACCAGCTTGTGGTGAGTCAGCAAGGGCATCCCCCTGAAAGGATGCATAGAAACTGGGTGGCTACCTACCACTTGGAAAAAACGTATGTGTTGTTTCTCATTTAATTAGCCAGGAAATGCTTAGACCATTTAACCGGGTGGCGTTGCCGATCATCTTCTTGGGCAGGGGCGTGCGCCACCAAGGAAAGAGGCTCTATGTGGGCAGATCCTCCAACTGCAGCAGCTTTTTCACGGGTCAAATGAGGAAGATCCAGGCCGGGCTTTGCGAAGAGGTGCAGTTCACAGGTCCTGCAGTTGTTCAGTTGGATGGGAAATCGATGGCACTGGTTCAACTTGGGTTGACTAGGTCTCCCAGTGCCCTTTCTCACCCCTTTTTGGGGGACGGTTCCCCTACTAAATAGTCTACAGAAAAAAGATCGGGCACCCTTATTCTAACCTCTCTACTGGAGGACCTAGTTGACTGCCGCCGTGAATTCTCCGAAGCGACGTCGAGTCCACAAATTTGTTATTTGTTGTTTTTCTTTTCGTGGGGCATGTGTTTCCAACCCCACGGGGTTTCTTGACCTTCATTTGATGGCTTACGGGCCCCGAAGCACGAGAGCCAGGTCAACAAAGCTTGCGGGTCCCTGTTTGGCTTGGCGACGTGTAGCTTTCCATTGGGGGACCCCATTCGAGAAGGCTGGCTTCCAGCACCCCGCAGCATAGGCCGTGCCAAAATAGGTCAACTCCGAGTCTACTTGGCACCCGCACCTTGAAACTAAGCATGTGCTTTTGTTCGCAGGATCGTATCGGATGTCGACAGCTTTGTAGGTGTGGAACTACTGCGTGGACAGCTGCAGCGTTGATGGCTTGTATGCTGATGAGGCAGAGCGCGCTCTGAACCAGTTTGCCAGTTGGCTGCTTGGCGTTTTTGCATTGTCCGTTGCTTGCGTGGTGCTTCTCAGGACTTGATGTGTCAGTGTCGCTAATCTTTACTAGACCTTGGGATTCCTGTTGAACTTTTCCATGTTTTCCGTCAACATCGCTCAGCAGGGAATGAGAAATGGAACGACCCTTATAAGCCATTCAATGGTGGTTTGCTTTAAGGGGACCAAAGCCTGGGTTAATTCCCACATTCCCTACCTATCGCACAGATCTCAAGTTTTGGTAGGTAGCTGATACCTGAGGTTCCCCGAGGTGGATGTCTTTACCTTCGGCAGCCTTGCCTCCTTTGCCGCGGCGGCGGAAGAAGACGACGAGTTTCAAGCGGATTTGCTCCTCCAGATCGACGTCCACAAGGCCTGAGAAGCCCCGGGCATCCGTTCCCATGAAAAACGGGTGCTAAATAGCAAACATCAGGGTTCCACTATTTGACTACCCCAGGGTAGACAGAGAACCTTGGTTGAAAGCAATCTTTGGGTCAAAAAGTGGAACCCTGACAACCAGAACTTTCGTGTTTATCCAAAGGGAAGGCAAAAGGGGAATGGGTGATTCTTTGGATATGTTTCCGGGCCCCTAGTCAGCACCCAGTAACGTGACATCCTGGGTCCATGAATGCGACATCCTCCGAATTACCTGGTAGGTTTTTGCAACGACAGGCTGAAGAGAGATTGAGGTGCAGCGGCAGGAAGGCAGACCCGGTCAGAGAACAAACATGTGCAAACCCACACCCGTCTTTCCGTGCGAAAGTGCGTGTCACCAGTGTGAGAGCGAGAACCCTTATGGATTTGTGTTGAAATGCTTGTGAGAGTAGAGCTTGGCAGAAATGAGTAATAACTTTCGCCGAGAAACTGCGCTCAAAGTGATTGAGGGTTTGAGTGCGTTTGAGGGGATCAATCAATGCACTACAGGCAGGGCAGGCGCGGCCTCATTAGCTCCAGAAACTTTGGACAGAGCAACCTGCGCCATCCTGCAGAATGCTGTTGTCTTTTGGGTTAAGTGTTTGTCAAAATGAGGACTGCTGACCCTCTATCCTAGGGTTACGAGGGTTGGTTCCCACTTGTTTGATGCCTTGCAATCGCCGCCTTGAAGAGAAGTAGACATTGGGAAGGCGATTCAAGATCACAGACCAGGTGCAGTGCCACATTTTTAATTTCACCACCAGGTCTGCAGACTGACCTTGTCCCCGTGTGACGCCCTCCAAGAGCTACCCTCTCAATGGTGGTTGCTTTCTCGTGGTTCCCCCCTTTCAGCGGAACATTTGGAGAACCCAAGCCACCAAGACCTCTACCATCCACCTGCCCTTGATCTACCTACCACCTACCATCTACTTTTCCACCTACCATTGTGGAATCCCTCAGGGAGGCACAAGGAGGGCGGCTCCTTCAATGTTACAAAGTCCTTCGGGTTCCTTAGGGAGTCTTAGGATGCCCCCCCGCCTTGGACCTCCACTCCAGAAAACCACCCACCAACTTCGAACTACCAACCACCTGTCAAGGGTTTGCTTAAATGCAGGAAAGTCCCCCCGTAAATATGCTATGATATGTTTTTTTTTTTCCTGTAGAACGCCCTGTAATCCAAGCCTTTGAACCTGCTTAGGAGCTCGATGGCTTCCAGGACCTGGCCAAGAAAGTTCTCAGCAGCAACGGCCTCGCCCTCACTTTGCCCAAAACCGGCCCCTCGGAGGAAGTTCTTCGAGTTTCCTGGGATGGACTTTATCTAGGTCCCTTAGTAGTACCCCTTTTACCCTTTGCTGGGGAAGGGTTCCCATACCAAAATTGACTACAGGAAAAAGGGTACCCTTATTTTAACCTCTCTACTGGAGGACCTAGTTTTACTTCCTACTTGGCCGGCGATAGAGCCTTTTCCTTCGCGCTCTGGTTGATTTGGTGGGTCGTGTAGTTGCTGTCACGCCCTGGGCCGGGCCAGTACACGCACAAGAGGTGCTGGACTTTATTCTTCTTGGGAAAACCCGTTGGTGAGACCTCAGCCCCTTAGACCTCTTGGGAACAATGACTTTTCCATCAAGCCGGAGTTCATGGACTCGAACAACTTCTTTTGTTCGGGGTTTGGACCATTTAAGTGGTAAGCAACACTATTGGTTACTTTCTGTTTGGCCAACCCACTCAGGAAGTGAATATAGAGTTTCGTGGGCTCACCTGTCGTAGAAAAGTAACGGACTGCAAGCTCCACGTTGAGCATCCTTTACTTTTTGGAAGAGCACCCCAGCCTAGGGCAAGCATTTTCCCCTACCCATGTGAATATTTTCTCCTGCAAATCCATTTGGATATGTGATTGCTTGATACCCGTGCAACATGTGATTCAAGTAGTTAATCCACACCGTTTGATTATAGCCCACAGCGTCTGATTGTAGCCCGCATGAAGATTGTGAACCTGCGAAAGTACGCCAGACCGGGCCGCCAGCCCACGAATCTGTTGCTCTTGGCAAGGCTTTGGAGTGGCACTTGTGTAAAGACCAACGTGCTCGGATGACGCGTCACGGGAGAGAATTTGTTCTTTGGCCCCAGGGCACGCATGCAAGCCGCAGATGGCATTTGGGTTGGGCGCATTCTTGATTTGACAAAAACGAGTTGAGTCGGGCAATGCATGGTCTTGCCTGTTTGGGTGTTTTGACTAGCTCCGAGTGTTTTTTCATGTGGCGTTGGCACATCCAGACCCACCAGGGCTGTCTCGTGCGCGTGCACATCGTGCCACCTCCCGACAAATCGAATCACCTTGAATCGGACTAAAAGTTCCCGGCAAGATAGCAAGACCAGACCACTACGGATGGCCAGCGGCAGCTCTGGCAGCCGAAGTTTGCACTTGTTTGAGGGTAATTACTGTTTTTTTGGATCTTTTGGTGTTGGGATAAAGGAAGGGGAATCACTCCCATTTTTGGATCCCTTTGGGGTTAGGACAAATATGAAACCAAGAGGACAACCTCCGCTTCTGGGAGACGTATTCATTGGGACCTGTTTGTTTTTTGTTTTGTTATTTTTCCTCAGGCAAGAGCTGGAGGAGAGAGAAGGTGAAGGTCGTGGAGCTCCGAGTGGAGCCTCTTGACGCTTGCGGTTGGCGTAGGCGTGTGATGCCCACAGGTTTCTGCATTTTCCCACGGAAGCCAAACAGAATATGTGTGTTTTATCTTTGTTTTGGGCGGGGGGGGGGTTGTCTTTTTCCCTCTCCGGGAGGCTAACAAGAATCCTCCGTTGAGACATTCGGATTCCATCTGCGGCGGGGTGGCTCGTCACACATTTGCGGCTTGCACCCTTCAGTTGTCTGGAATGTTCAGCTCCAGTTTGTGTAGTGGCCCTAGTCTTTATTTTCAGATTGGGAAATCATGATGGCAAAAGCAGTTGTGGGTTTATGACACTTTTCTTGGAACAAGCTACGACGCTCAGCCTCTTTTTTCAAAGCACGTTCCTTTGCGCCCTTCAAAATCTAGACAAGCTTTGACCCATGAAACCAACCGGCAAGGTGCAGCAGTTTACGGCAGAGCATGAACCCTTTTCGGGACCAAATCCCGTAAACTTCCTTCCATCGACTTTCCCTGCTTATAGTTTTGTTTTTCCAACCGGTCTCTGTTGCCTCCTTTTTAGGGGTGTTGTTTTCAGTTTTTGTTCCCTCACACCCTAATTATACCAACCCTGGACCCGCCCGCAACCACCTTAAACCAAGCCTAAATGAACTCTGAGCCAACCCTGAGCCACCTAAGCAGCACAAACCCACCCATGTCCACCCAAAACAAACCCAGCAAACTTTATGCCAACCCTGGACCTCCTAAACCAAGCCACCCCCCCAAGAAAAACAACACAGTAAACCAACCCCAATTTTTCCCTATAAAATCCCTAAGCCAACTTAAGCAAGCTGTGACTCCAACTTGAACCTGCACTAAACCCACCTCAACCAACCGTATACCAACCCCAAACCAACCGCCAAACCAACCGCCAAACCAACCCTAAACCAGCCCCAACCCCTCCCCAAACCACTGCTAGACTAACATAAACCAAAGCTTAGCAAACCCAGCCAGCCTTAGCTCACCCTGAGCAAACCCCATACCAATCCTAAATCCAAAGCAAACCCCCAACAAACCCTAAGCTAGCCCTAAACCAGCCGTAACACCCACCCTAATCCAGCGCCAATCCATCCCTGCATCGGCTCGAAGCAAACCCGAATTAAACCCTATAACCAACCCTAAGCAACTATTCCTACCCTTTAGCCACCCTAAGCCAACCCCAAGCCAACACCAACACCACCCTAAACCAATCCCTAAACCAACCCAACCCTAAACCCACCCTGAACAGCCCAACAGCCCAAAAGCCACCCTTAACCAACCCTAAACAAACCCTCAACACACCCTGTGTACCCATCTCCAAACCACCCGTCCCAAACATGTCAGAAACCCAAACCCCGCCCACACCCAGCCGAATCATTCTCATCACCTGGTCTCGTTGTCATTACCCATCGCATGTTGCCTGACGTTGGTAAAACGAAAGATCCTTTGCTTAGGGGATCCCTTATCTCAGGTTTTCTTCAGTTTTTTTGTTGCTGTCCTTCATTTAACACAAAACATGACTTGGTTCCAACATGGAAATCTGCAAGATCCGATACTTCAGGTGTTGAAATCTGGTAACACACGTGACATTACCATGGGCTAGAAGCTCTGCGTCACTGAGGTCCGAGGTGCTGGCGCAGCTGGAGGAGAAGAAGCAGCAGCCCTGGGTCTTCTTTGGCCCCGGCAAGGCGGGAGGGTGGGGGAGGGGGAGGGGGAGGGGCAGGGTGGGGGGGTAGCTGGCCATGAGAACCACCGTTTCTGGATGGATGGCCGGGGTGGCCAGAAGGGCGTCGCCGCACTTTGTGTGTGTGTGTGTGTTTTATTTGTTTTTTATATGTTTTATTATTATTAGTAACTTATTATTATTATGATTATTATTATTATTATTATTGTTATTGTTATTGTTATTGTTATTGTTATTGTTATTATTATTATTGTTATTGTTATTGTTATTGTTATTGTTATTGTTATTGTTATTGTTATTATTATTATTATTATTATTATTATTATTATTATTGTTATTATTATTCTTATTCTTATTATTAGTATTATTATTGTTATATATATAGATATTTTGGGAAGAATCCAGCAGTGTTTTTTGTTAATTGCAGGGGTGGGTGGGGCGGTTGGAGCATCACCTGTCATTTTATCTGTTTTTTTGGTTTGAGTGGTTTGAAGTTCACCTTTGGCGTTTTCTTCTGGGATCTCGTTTGGTTTGACGGGATTTCTTGAGGGACAGAGCCAGGAATGACTACAATTTCTATCACATATTTTTTTGGAGCTAAGGAGCGCCACTTGCCACCAAAATCACTGCGCAGTTGCTTTTTCTGACATCTTTAGTCTTTACCTGTGTGGTTAGAGCATCCCCTTTTGGGGGTTCTGGGTCTCGTTTGACGCAATTTTCAACTTCGGCGATTGCGAAGTCTGAGCCAGAGTCAATCATCCTTGTGTCTCCGAGCACCTGTTTTTGAGAGAAGCCTCCCTGAAAGGGACACTTCCCTGAAACCCCCCCAACCCCCCAACCCCCCCCCAACCCCCTCAACCCCCCCAACCCCCCCAACACTTGAAGTCTTGCCGAGCCATACACATAAGAGAACCTCGTCAAACGAGAACGCAGGTGGGCCGCAGCCACTTCTGCCAGGAGGACCGGCCGGCCATTGGGTCGAGCTTGGATTTGTTCCATGGACGCGCGTTTTACGCTCTGCTTTCGGAGCTGTCCCTGGGCTTCGCCATGAGCTGCGCTGGAGGTTTTGGGGTTCAAATGTTTGGGCTGCGGGTGATGCAGAAAATGCTGTGGAGGCGCTTGGGGTGCAACAAAAACACGTCTGCAGTATACCCTGCGGGTAATTGTAAAAGCTTCGCGTTGCCCGCCTCGGCCCAGCCTAGTTTGAGGGAAGGGTCAGGAACACCGAAATCCAGCGTTGGGAAGGTCCGAATCCTGCTGAAAGCTTGTGACCGCACCAGTTCGCCCGTGCTAGTTCGATGTTCGGAAGCCGTCCTGCTCGGAAGGTTTGAAATCCAAAACCAAGACGATCTCAGCTGCTCAGTGCCCTTGGAAAAAAAAGGACCTCTTTCTGGGGATGAGCATTTTTAGTGGGGCTTGGCCTCCATAAAAAGGGGAACAATAATCGGTGCCACTGAACAACCAAGACCAACTTTGGGTGTTTGGGCACCTCCATTTCACGTGGCTGGCGGCTTGCCATGACATACATTTCTTGCTCGGTTGCTCAGCCCAAGACAGGTACATGGTGGGAATACAAACCTCCATTTGCTTAAGTGGGCAGCCGGACTGGGGGGCTGGGGCACGTCAGACAGGCGTAGCTTGAGACCACTCTCAGACACCTCAGACTGGTCTTTGCCCTTATCTGAGCCTGCTGGTGGGCTGGGAGCTGGGGGCCGGCTTAGTGGCTGGCATGCCCTCAGATGCGCCGGGGCCTCGGCTGGGCAGGCTGGGCTGAGGTGGGTTGCTGGTTGGGCTGGGCCTGAAGCTAGTCTCAGCCACAAGGCTGCGAAGCCATGGGTGGGTTGCTGGCTGCCGGGCAGCCGGACTACGCTGCTGGTTGCGCCTGGAACTTGGGCTGGGCGGGCTGGGCTGAGCTGTGCTTGGGCGGGTTGCTGGATGGGCAAGGCCCACTTGGGCCTGAGGCTGGGTGGCGAGTTGCTGGCTGGGCTGGGCCTGAGGCCAGTCGCAGACACGTAAGACACGCCAGCAGGCGGGCTGAGGGACTGGGACTGGGCCTGAGGCCAGTCCCAGGCTGGCATACTTTGGGCTGGAAGGCCTGGCCAGCCTGGGCTGAGCTGCTTGGGCAGCCGGACTGAGGGGCTGGAGACAGGGACACGTGTTGGCCGTGGCTGGCATGCCTGAGATGCGCCGGGGCCTGGGCTGGGCAGGGTGGGTTGCTGGCTGCCGGGCAGCCGGACTACGGGCTGGGCTGGGCTGTGCTTGGGCGGGTTGCTGGATGGGCAAGGCCTGTTTCATAGGCTGGGTGGCGAGTTGCTGGCTGGGCTGGGCCTGAGGCCAGTCGCAGACACGTAAGACACGCCAGCAGGCGGGCTGAGGGACTGGGTCCTCAGGCTGGCATACTTTGAGACCAGTGTCAGACAAAGGGGCTGGGCCTGCTGGATGACTTGGGGCCAGACAGGAGGTCGGCCTGGGCTGAGCTGCTTAGCCGGACTGAGGGGCTGGGGCACGTCAGACAGGCTTAGTAGCTGGCGTAGCTTGAGACCAGTCTGGTGGGCTGGGCTGACAGGTCTGGCCAGCAGGCGGGTTGCTGGTTGGGCTGGGCCTGAGCCTAGTCTCAGACACGTCAGACACGCCTGGCCACATGCTTTTCAGGCCCGTCGGACAGGATTTTGGGGCCACCCAGCCAACATGGGGTGGGGGGAGGGGGTTGGGGGAGGGGAAAAGATTCTCTCTTTTTTTGGAGAAGAGATCTGAGCGCCCTTGGCCCCTTTGGGGCCGAGGCGAATTAGGGTTTCTTCGCTCTTTGAGCTCGAAGACACAACACAGCTGGATTTCCAGAGTTCCGCCCTTCCAGAGTTCCTGTTTTGTTTGGGTGAGGCCTCATGAAGGCTCCTTCAGGGTTCTCATCTCATGCGATCGCCTGGCAAATGCTTTTAGCTCCCCGAGGAGAGCCGCTTTCTTCGACTTTCTGGCTGGGCAAGCAGGATAGGACGGCCACCCCGGTAGCCAGCCGGAGGTGTCGCGACTGTGCGGAAAAGAGGGATGCAGCGACTACCGTTCAGCCAAAAGAAAGACTTCCTGATTTGTTTCGCCGAACCCCCCGCGCCAAACAGATTTGTCACCTTTCGCGCCACCATGAAGAGGCCAGCATTCGGGCGCGCATTGTTGCATGGTTCCTTCCCACGCGTGAAGAGTCTCTCCTTTTCGGGAGGCGGCTAAACGCAGCATATGCCAAGCGCTGTGCCAGAGGGTTGCCCATGAGCATCGGCAGCCCGTCGAGGGCAGACCTTGTGCAAGGGGGTCGTCAAAGTGGTAGCGTAGTCTATGCGGGAACCACCTTGAAAGGCAAACCACGGTCCTTCAAACACACCTACTATATGACATGTTTGACCAATCTTTGGTTGAACTCTGTCAAGCATGTTCACTTCATGAAGCTAAGGCCAGACCAGCAAGCATGAGGACGCCTGCTACTTGTCTTTTTGCAATTTTGCTTTCTGGTAAGTCATCCTTTGGCCACTACCACGGCTCCGTTTGCTTACCAGCCCTGCGCAAGCTGCCACGAGGCCATGGCAGAAAGCGCCAAGCTGAGGAGCGTGCCGGCGAGTCGGCAAGCTTCAGAAACCAACCCATGAGTTGGCAGGCTTAAAGGGCCAAAGGCGACAATCTGAATCACCACTGGATTCCTTCCGAGCTGTTTCATATGTTGTATGTCTTTGGACATCAGCCAAACGATGACCTGCTCACCTGCAAGCAGTGGTGGAGGAACACTAGGAAATGTAGCTCGCTCGGGCTTTTGTTTGCTTGCTGATGACCTACTCAGAAGAACCGCGCATTGCCCGAAAGGAGAAATGTGTGTCCTTCTAGGCTAGTTCGGTTCAGCTCGCTGAGTTCATTTCACATGAGTCAACTTGCCCACAAAGGACACCCGAACCGACTTTGGCCCTCTCAGGGCCTTGCCTGCCACATGAACGATTTGAAATCAAGGCCCCCCAAAAGGCTCGCCTTGCAATTTCTGGGGGCTGAGCTTTCTGCAACAAAGCACGGGCATTCACAATCTTGGGGGACAACTGTGTGTTGTTTGGCGAACGGGCATGTGGCAGAGGTTCCTTTCTTGCTTCGGGCTGCAAGCGACCCATCCCAAATCAGCCATTCGTCAGACATTGGCTTTTGCCCACCCAAAAACACCAACAATGACAACTGTTTGGAACATGTGTTGGCTGCTTGCCTCAAACAGTTGGTCCGGGATCCTGGGTTTCTTGGTCACCAATCGCATCCCGGGTATAATTCTCTTTCGATACTTTTGCTGAGCTCACATCAGCAGCCATGGGTATGGCCAGATTTCCCTCATGTCGATTTCCCTTTCGATACTTTTTCTGAGCTCACATCAACATAGCTGTCGTTGGCATGGTTGTTCCTGAAGGCCCCTCGGCTCAAGCAACCGAGGGTAGGGCGTGGGGCGCGGAAAACTTCCGCGCCCGACGATGACATTCCGATGTGAAGAGGACTACATGTGGCTCCCAGCCTTCGGCGAGGACGAAAAGAACTGGCCCAATGGTCTGCGCATTGTGCTGTATGTCCTAGGCCTCTTTTATTGCTTCCTGGGAGTCGCCGTGGCTTCCCGGTCAATGATTTTTGAGATTCGTTTTGCTCACGCATCATGGCCGACCATCCTATTCACCACGCATGACTCAGAAGCAATGTGCAAACACCTGTGCAAAACAAACCAGCCCAAGCCCAACTTAATCGCACCAGGACACATTCGCAAAGAAAGCCATCCAACAAAAAACAAAGCAGCCGTACCAACATGAGCTTGCTCGAACTGCAGCTGCTGAGGCAAACGTGGTGTGCGTAAATTTGGTCCTTGGATACCCCTAGCCAAGAACTACCTCTTCAGTTCTGAGGTTTGTGTGCGTAAATGTTGGCCTTGGATGCCCCTAGCCAGGTTTCAACTCCTCAGTTTTGCCTGAGGTTTCGGACATCTTCATGAACGCCATCGAGAGGATAACGTCTCAGAAGCGGCGTGTGAGGCTGAAGCGCACGGGCAAAGTAGTCACTCAGACGGTCTGGAACGACACCATGGCCAATCTCACCCTCATGGCGCTAGGGTCCAGTGCTCCGGAGATCTTGCTCAGCGTGATTGAGATCATGAGCAACCAGATGCTTAGTTGAAAAGCAAACCGCACACCAATAAAATCCCATTGGATTTTATTGTTTTGCTTTTGTTTGTTTTATTTTAGTGACATGTGTTGGTCTTTCTGGGTCCAAGGGTCCATATTGTTCGACCACTTTTGAGAACCTTGTTTAGGGGAAGCACACATGAGGGACCGCTTTTTTTTGCCCTGACAAGATCGAGGATGTACATGGGCGATCTAGGCTCGGGCACAGTGGTAGGCAGTGCGGCGTTCAACCTCCTTGTGATCAGCGCAGTGTGCGTTTGCGCCATTCCGGACGGAGAAGTGCGCTACATCAAAGACACGGCCGTTTACGCCGTGACGGCGACCTTCTCCATCTTCGCTTACGAGCCTTGGCCCGCATCAGGCGCTCGCTATTGTTTTTGTTTTTCCCCCGGCTTTGGCAGCGTGGTGAAGATGGGCCATGGCGGTTTCGTAGGTCGCCTGGCCATTTGTTCTCGATGTCAATCACTGGGTCATTTGCCCAACGAGCGGTTACCCCCTTGTCGTTTCTAGCATTTTCTAGCCTTATCAGAAGTGGCTCCCCCTTTAGCCCCAACGTGCCACTAGTTCCCAGCTGGGGCAGCGAATGGGCAGCGCAAGAGCCTTCCGCATCCCCCCCCCCGAATAAATGGAATTGGGAGAGGGGGTGGCCCCTGGGTTTCTATTTATGGTGTGACTGTCCCTTTTTTAGGGGAAACTAGATACTGGAATGGAACCCAGACCCGCCACCTCCCTCCTTAAGGAAGGGATCTTGTGCCTTGAGGTGTGGCTGCTGCTGATTCTCATGGTCTTCTCGCCGGATGTCTGCGAGGTTTGGGAGGGCGTAGTGACCTTTCTGCTCCTTGAGCCAGAACTCGAGATCTTTTGAACCTACCTCGTCTTGTGCTTCCTTCACTTCCTGAGTTCATGGACTCGAACCACCTTGTTGGGAAGACCGTTTTAGTGGCAAACAAAAAGTTTGGACTTTTTTTGGCCAATCCACTCAGGATGTGAGTTCCTTCTTAGGCGGCCAATGTCTTACTGGCTTAGGATTGGTGCAGGTAGTTTGTATATTTGGAGTCAGGAGTTCAAACCCCAAATCCAAAAAGGCGCCATTTTCTCCCCAGAGGTTGAGCGATCGGAACAGAAGGATCCTTCGAACAAATTGATGGTTCTATCGGTGGAGCTTCTAGTGTTGTGGCAACGTTCTCTTGACACATGTTCATTCATCCTTTGCCTACACATCCACCATGTGTGTTGGCTTTTCTTTTTGCCGGGCGGCAAGCGGGGGTTTCAAAATTTTGTGCCACCACTGCCGGGTTCCACCGTGAGGCTGTTTCCCTTGCTCCTGATTCTGGCCTTTGCAGCGGACAAGAGCTGGTGCATGCCCAGTGAGAAGGTGGAAGTGGAGGACGCACGCGCGACAGAACGCTTTTCAAGCGGCCGGTTTTGCATCTTTGCATTTGGCCCTCAAAAATCGGCCCCGCCGCAAATGTCATAAGGGGCTAGCCAGGTCTATTGAGCTTGAGGGAGCTTGGTTTGAAGAAGTGTGAATCTGCAACACCATTAATTGTTGAAGAGTCTGCTGGATGTGGCTTTTGGCTTGGGGTCTCCTGAGCCATCTTACCCTTTGATGCTTCTTTCGGGCCGGAACTCTGATTTTGAGTGTTTTTTCCAAAAAAAACAGCTTTGGGCTTTTGGGCTTTTATAAACCAATCACAAAATCTGTGGGCTCAGCATTTTCGGTGCGGGGTCTTCGCAAGGATAACTTCATGAGTGCAATCCCGGCGGACGTGACAAAGGAAGAGCTGGCAGAGATCGAGCAGGGCATACGCGAGGAGTACAACCACAAGATCTCGGATGATCAGATGGTTAGGACCCTTCTGACGGGTTCTTGACTGCTAGGTCTCCCAGCTAGGTGCCCTTCTCTTACCGTTTCTTTTTTGGAGGAGGGTCCCCCTACTAAAATAGAGTACAGGAAAAAATCGGGTACCCTTATTCTAACCTCTATACTGGAGGACCTAGGTTGGGTCTGGCGGATTCTTGACTGCTGCTGGGCAACGGATCTTTAGACTTTAGCTTTTTGGTTGAAATCAAGGGGCTTTCCACTAACCCCCCAAGAAGTTGAAACTTTTTGCACGGGGGTCAACAGCAACCAAGATTTTGTTGGAAGCAGAGCGCGTTTTGTTTCCTCGAAATATAGGTTAGAGATGACCGGGGCGCAAGGGGTTGGGCGATTCAATCACCAAACTCTAACCATTTGGGCAAATTAGAACGACGTCACTAAGGCGGGGATTTTGAGGTCACCCATGATGAAGTCTTCTTTCATAGAGATGCCGGTTGGTGAGTTACATTTGCCCAGAACCATGGTGAAGAAAAAAAAACACGTTTCCAGCCCTAGGCGTGACTTCAAAAACAACAAACAACACCAGACCAAGGAAGCCTTGCTTCCGGCCTTAGGCGGGAATTAACAAAAACCAGGCCCTCGAGCGAGGCCTGGGTCCGCTCCAGGGTGAGAATCAGCAAACAAAAACCACTGGAATCTCCGAGAATGCGAATTCAAAGTGCGGGAATTCAAAAAAGCAAGCACCAGAGCCCTTGCCTTAGGGTGCGGATGTTGGATGTTTGTCCTAAAATGGAGAGCCAAGGGAATGGTCTTTCATTTTTCCAGACCCTCTATTGAACGGCTTATTGAGATGACACTTGTTTCGGGCGAGTGTTGGTTCCATGCGATGGCAGACCTTGCTGTCCGTGTTCATTGGGACGTGCGCAGGCTTGGGCAGGATTTGTTTGGATAGCAAGGTCCCGGTCGCCTCAAAACAAATATCAAAACGAGTTTGTTTGCACTAGTACCCTCCCACCAATTAACAGGGAACCTGGACACCCCTGTCAGGTTCCATGTTAATTGGTGGGAGGGTGGCTTAAGCATGTTTCAGCAACGGGTTGGCCCACCCCTGCAATCGGGACGTGTTGCATCCAGATCTGCGGGAGGATCATTCAGTGGAGATACATGGGACGGCCTTCCCGAGCCTTCTACCGGCACACAGCCATGGAAGGTATCATCGGAGGTAAGAAGGCCTGGTCACGGGTCGTCTTGGCCACGTTCTCCTGATGTCAGGACATCCTTATAACAAGGCATGCCCAGGGATTGAAGAGCCAGATAATGGTCTTGTGGAGTTGTGGGGCAGCGGATGTTATGGGAGTAAACTAACAATAATTATGTCGCCCCTTTTTTGTTGCATGATTGAGAAAAGCTCCCTCAAACAGTCAAGGTCCCTCAAGTAGTTAACGGGACCAGGGAATTACTGTAGGGAAAATTGGAGCAGACAATGGGACACCTTATGCGAACAATTGTGCCATTTCGCTGTTTGAGTGGCAATGCGGGCGATGTCCGGCAGTTGACGATTTATCCAAAACAAGCTGTGCAAAGTAGTTGGGGATGTTCCCCAAAGGAGGCTTGAGACTTTCACGTGGCCCTTAGTTGGTGGTTTGGACTGGTTTGGGGAATGGAAGCCCTTCACTGCAACTAGACAGGGTAAATGGCAACCCTGGAGCACCAATCCAAACCACCAATCCAAGCCGCCTCGAGTTGCACTTGGGCCAAATTTGGAACGAACCGGACGGTCTTCAGCCTTTGTTAGTTTGAGGCAGACATGGGCCCCCACGCCAACCCGGTGAACTTTGTCACGGTGCCGCACAACACCGCAGATGAGCTGCAGCTGAGCCAAGACGAGCTGCGGGTTGTTTAGGGACTGGACGAAAGGCCAGGTCAAGGTTCTAAAGAACGTTTTTCCTGGAGGAGAGGGTGTCTTAGAAGATTCATAGAACTGTCTTGGGGAGCGGGGCGCCCTCATGTCCCCGTTTCTGCGTTGCTGGTTAATGCATACTCCATGACTTGTTCTCAAAATGTTGGATTTAGTTGGTTTGATCACAGGGCGCGCACACGCTCGCGTATTCGGATTTACCATGTTCACAGCGATGCAGAGTCATAGACAATCACAAATTTCACTTCAAAAAACATCGTGAAGTATGCCTATGGGTTTTGCCAATGTAAAGAAGTGTATGCCAGCCTCCGTCGATTGCCTTATGTCCACTACCCGAAGTCCTGCGAGTCCCAACATTGCAGTTTTGTTTTTGAAATTTCTCTTGTAGGGGTTCCGAATCAAGGACGAGTGGGCTGTTCAAGCGCAATCCTTAGTCCTCACCGCAAGGGCTCCGCTTTTTCGTTGTGTTTCCCTTGGGTCCCTTGGGGTTGGCCAAGCCAAACCATTCTTGACTGCTATTGGGTTGGATCTTTAGACTTTAAGCTTTGGGGAAAGGACTCGGCGTTTTCCACTAAACCCCTTAAAAAAAAAAAAAGCAAAAAAGAATGGCTGGGGGGGCGTTACAGCAACCAAGCATGCTGGCTCAAAAAACCGGTACCAAATGGAACATGGCCCAAACCCTGCGTAACTTTTCCTGTTTTATTTTGAGCCACACCCATTTTGGGTCAACCAGCCCAGGAAGAAGGCCAAAGTGGTGGAACTGGGTTTCGCCACGGACCGCTACGCCTTTCTGGAGTCCTGCCACATGGCGACGCCCGGCGCAAAAAATAACAAAAACGGAACGTCTTGCATGGGGGCTGGGGTCAGCTCCCGGGATTGTGGACTTTCAGAAACTGGGGTCAGCTCCAGGGATTGTGGACTTTTTATCAATTTGTTGGGGGAGAATTCCCGGTTTCTGGATCTTTGGTTTGTTTGGTTCGCTTTTGGCAGATGGTTGGAATGATAAACGTGGCAGGCACCGCCTCGCCCTCCAAAGTGGCGCAATTGTGCGGAACAGTGCTGCGGAGGAGGCCTCCTGCCTCCCTTCCTTCCTCCCTTTTTGGTCTTCAGTGCTGATCCCTGCAAGGTCAGCCAGCAAGCCAGGTGTCCCTCTTGTAATTTGTGTTCCTCACTGTTGAGCCTTCCACCCGTGTGCGCGTGAAGTGAATCCTTCTGCAGTCCCAGCATGCCATTTTGGCCGCTGTGGCCTCGGGAGGTGGCGAAGCAAACGCCTGGCATGCAGATCATACCCGCAGCTTCGAGTTGCGTAAAAACATCTCCAGTCAAGTTTTCGGCACGTTCCCAAAGACATTTTTTTAGCATTTGGGTTTGGCATAAAACAAGTTGCACATGCATAATTAGTTAGTTAATTCTGCATACATGCAGTTATTCATGCTTTTGTATGTGTAATATGTATACACATGAAATTGCTTATGCAGTTGTACCCATATTTCTTGGGAGGTCAACCGTGCCTTTTATTTCTTGGGGTTGTAGTCTCTTCCATTTTTTCCTTGTGCAGCCATTCGCCATTTGTTGGTTTTCCCTGGCCCCACTTGAAGTGGAGGAGCAAGACAACCCACCCTGTTCGGGCTTGCAGCTGACTTGCAAGGTTTTCAGCTCGACCCTTTCTGCTCACATCGCCCGGCGATTTCTGCATTTTCCAAAACAGGAGGCATGGCAGGCGTTCCGCCTCCAAAAAGCAGAAAGCCCGTCGAGGGGGGCGCCCCTACCGGTCAAACACCTTGTCTTTTTTTTCCGAGGGAGCTCCTTTTCGGGACCCCTGAGAAACGAGCCCCAGGATTGAAAACGTATGTTGCGGGCTGGCATGCGCCGTTGGCGTCAGGAAGCTGCAGCTTATGCGCTGCGGCGTTGTGGACAAGGAGGTCAGCGTCCAGGTCACGTCGCGGGAGGGCACCGCGAAGGCAGATTCGGCCCTTCTGCTGCGCTTGGGTTGGCATTCCGCTTTTGGGGCGAGCTCACTGGTACAACGAGCTCACCGTGATCTAGGTGCCCCAGTAGTACCATTTTACCAACTTGTCCAAACGGTGGGTTTTTGTGGGGAATAGCCCCCCAACCAGCTGATTTTCAGGTTGGTGAAATATTATAATTCAACCAGATGGATGTCCATGGTCCTAGGCCAAGTTGCATTTGTTTTCGATGGACTGCGCCGCTCATTATGTTGAGAGGTGATCGGAGTTGGATGGTGCTGAGCAGCATGGTAGCCTACCGCACGACATGAAACAGATCGCCAGCTGTGAAGGTGCATGTGTGTGGTCAATAAAAACGTGCGTTAACCCAATGCACTCGAAGCATTGCACGCTTAGGATTACATCCCCGTGGACGAGGTTGTGACCTTTGCACCTTGGCCCGGGATATGTTTTGATGCTGGGCATTGGTAAAGAAGCATGAAGAAGAATGAAGGTCCTTTGGGGTGGGGGTTCCTTTCTTGCCAGTTCGGGAATTACACAAAGCCGACCAGATCCTTGATGCGGATGGCAGTCGCTATGTGTGTGCCCTTCCTTTGTTTCCAGTCAGGCCGATCCAAGACCAATAATGGCTTCTTGTGCATTCGGGCTAGCCAGCAAGCAGAACTCTGGCGCACGAAGCCGCTTCCAAGGAGTCTTGGATCAGAATGCATTCCAAGTTGTACCTAAAAGCAGTGTTTGTGTTTGTCCTTCGCGCCCCCCCAAAAAAGCTGGGAGAACCCTCGAAGTCCTGTTTTTTGTTCCCCCTTTCAGACCTATTTGCATAGGTGAAAAAAAAAGGCAAATCTTTGCCCCCGTTGAGTTCAATGCCAGGCGCCGGGCGAGACTGTGAAAGACTTCTTTGTAGAGATCATCGACGATGCAGCCTACGAGGAGGACGAGGAGTTCTACTTGGACCTTTCCCTTCCCAGGCCGTGGGCTTGTTTTCTCAAGGGCGATTCCCCTCAGGTCGGGGCTGAAGTCAACCAGGCAACGGGACCAATCGCTTGGGATCCCTGGTTTTCACCAGTTCCCAGGTTGCAAATCAGAGGGGCTTCAAGTCGAGCCGTAGGGGTTCTGGGGTCTGCAACGGAGCGCCGTACTGCATTGGAGGCTAAAGAGACTTGACCACAACCATGCTGCTTGACGGGATTCTTCAGAGAACGGCCCATTTGCATGGTGGCATGGTGGCACTGATGTGTTTTGTAGGAGGATGTCCTTTGAAGTCAAACAAAAAACAACATGGCAAGGTGTCCTTCTTCACGTGGCTGCCGGGCAAGTCAGAAAAGATGGAAGCGTGGCCTGCATGAACCCCGACCGGATGGCCCTTCTTTTCTGCAGACTTTCTTGGGCCTCATTCTGATGGGCTCGTGTGCTAACGGGAGATGTGCGCGGTCAGGTTTCCCGTTGAAGGGCTCATTGGGTATTGCTTAAAACTAATGAGGCAAACCCAGTTGTGAACAAGCAGTTCCCCCCCTCGAAGGGAAACCAGAAGTTTCCAGAAAAGGTCTCATTCTTCAACAGGGGCCCCTTGCTTCGCCCTCTCGGCCAGGTGTAGCGGCGCGGATGCGCAAAGCGAGGTGCAGGTGAGGACGAGACAGGGCCTGGGCACGGTCACCGTTGTCATCGTGGATGACGATGAGCCGGGGAAGCTTCGTTTTCAGCACCCTGGGCCGCAACAGATCAATAGAAGCTCGAAAACGGTGTTGTTTCAATTTTCCAGCCAAAAAAAGGGGTCCACGCCCAAAAAGGGGTCCACTCGTCCTTTCTCCAATTCCGAACCCCCCAAAATCAACTTCGAAGTGGCCCTGAATAGAGCTTGGCTTCTGCAGTTCAAGCAACACGACTGCTTCCAGGGGCACCTGCAAGTGTTTAGACCTTGTTTTATGTGATTGCTGTGATTTTTCACATGACTTGAGAGCCAATTGTTACATAAACCCGTGCACACAAGCAGCCTCGTTATCCATTCTCCCGCAGGATTTGTGCAAGCATGCAATCAAGTAGCAGCACCCTGAAGAGATGCGAAGATGAGATGACATGCTTGTGCCTGGAGGATGTTCTCAGCCGTCCCAGGAGGATGAAAGGCAAAACGTAGTAGTTGCCAATAAAGAAAGAACATTGACTGTGCAGCGCCAGCAAGTCAACAAGGTACGACATGAACGGAATGCAGCGAAGCAAGTTTGCGCCAGCCGGATGACCATCATGTCCATCAATGATATATGTCTTTCATCAACAACCTCCAGCAACCACAACCCATGAACCCTTGATATCCAATACAAAGTTCTGACTACAGGAGAGGCTTATGGCCCAGAGTAGAAGCGTGAAGTTCTTTCCGTGCGGCGCTGGCGAGGTCTTTGGATTTTCCAAGGGTGCCCCCGTAGGTACAACTCCCCTCCAAGCGCAAAATCCACTTGGCCGCCTCTGTTTCTCACTTCCCAATTTTCATTCCGGACTTGACACTTGTTGGGTTGGACCACTTTGGTGGCCAGCAACAAAAACCGGACTTCTTTGAACCATCCACTCGGGAAGTGAGGCTTGGATTAGACACTCAGTGCACGGAACTTAGGTATGTTTGGAACCAAAAACAAGATGAGGCGGCCAACCAGCCGTTGTGTAAGGAGTACATACCCATTTCCCCCTATGGGAGTCGTAGTTTGGAGGGCAACGTCGGCCCCGGATGAATCAACGTGCTGGGAAAATAGGGCCCCCTCCCAAAACACATTCTTTCAGAGCTTTATGAATCAACTCAATTCTCCAAACTAGCGGGATTGGCAAGCTTGTGGACCCCTTTTTGGCTGGCTTTAAAGGGCAGCCCAGAGGAAACACACCAGTTTTCTTGCAGGTGCTCAGTATGTGGGACTGAACCAGGGGATTCCCGAAGGGGATCATTCCATTTCTCATTTGCCCATCGAACCAACAAGTTTCAAGCTGCGGTCTTCGTGCAAGGTAGGCTGTGCAGCCTGTTGCCTCACAGCGTCACTCCCACCCAAAAAAGAACCTTCAGAGCAACATGGTCCAAACCAGGACCCCCAAACGTCGACTGGTTCCATGTTAATTCTAGGGGTTGATTCCCCATTCTTTCAACCATCGCTCTTTTCAAGAACCAGTCGTTTCCACTGGGTTTCTTGAGGTGTTCTAGACAGACTCGGATCCCTGGAAAGAATGGAATTGGAAGGTACCCCTAGGGTCATGAGTGGCTTTGAAGAAGTGGGAGGCCCAAAGGAAGCCACGCCCATGGGCCGGCCGTTCGCCGGCGGCTTGGGGCTTGGCTGTCTGAGGTCGGAGCAGATCATCGTGCAGGAGCACGAGGAAGAGACGAAGCTGCGGGTGGTGGTGGAGCGCTTTAACGGCGCCACGGGGGAAATCGGATGTCGCTACTACACGGAGGACCCAAAAACGTCGACGGGTCGAAGGGTCGCCGTGTTTTTCGGTTGGGTGGGAGGGGGGGATTCCACGCTGGTCCTTTCAGTTGGGTTTAAATGGAAGGGATGTGTTTGATGCGTTGGTTTCAAGCGGGAATCAAGAGGAAATTGGTTTTGGAAACTCTGCCCCTTCTGTTGGTTGCAAAGACAGAGCCACACTGCTTGTCGTTCTTAGGGGAGGCGCGGCACTGTCTTTTGGCCAAAATGGGTTCACCAAGAGAAAGAACATGAAGCAAACCATTTTGCGGGGTTATCTCATATTGCAACAAACCTGGCATTGCTTGACCGGGGCGCTGTTTTTTTTGTCAGAAGGGGAGCCGCAACGGATCTGACCAGATCTGAGCAGCTTGATGAAGCCTCTACTTTGGATGAGTGAGCCTTTGGGCATCATGCGTGCGCACAATCCTCCCAAATGGTGTTTACTGGGTCCTTACCCCCCCCTTTTGCGACCAAACTTCGGGTGTTCACAGGGATGTAATTTGACAGCTCCAATGCTTGCAAAACACTAGGCCTGGGTCCAGTAGAGCGGCTCAGGCCTCCTGAACCCCCCCTTTTACCAGAAGGGGTGCTGGGATGTAGAAATTTCAGCTCGGCTTGCAAAACACCTTCTCCGTTTTTTTTGTTCTTCCCCAGGTGCCATTCCCCCTCCCCCCAACCAAAAAAAAAACACCGGTGGCTTTGGTGCAATGCTTTCCCCCTCACACCAAGCTGGGGCGGACCAGCAGGTTCCCGGCCAGGACAACACCGCAGTTGCGGGCTATGACTACGAGGAAGCCACCGGCAGCCTGTCCTTTGACCACACGGTGCAGACGGCGACCATCGAAATTACCATCAAACCCAAGGGGCGGTACGAGAACACCTCCTCCTTCCGAGCCTTTGGGCGGAAAATGGGCAGAACGGCAGAAAGGCAGTTGTCTGGTGAGCATAGGTGTCCTGTATAGGTTAGCTTGGTGAAAAATCGATGGGTTCCACTGGTTTAGATGGCGTTTATGCCCCATTTACCAGGGCTATCGGTTTTTGCAAAAGGCCACCTATGGTCTGGTGGCTCCCCTTCAAACATCCAGAAGAAGACACCCTACAGCGAGTCAGGTGGAAATGGATCTTGTTTCAGCTGTAGCAGCCTTCTGGATTTGACCATCCCGAATTCCTGAGCAGTTCACGCTGCGTAAAGAGGTTCCGAGCTACCACCTCGCGCGTTGGGAAAGGATCAGCATTGTATTGTTTGTTTGTTTCGATCATGTGCGGACATCAGATGAGCCATGCTCCTTCCAAAGGGTAACAATACGTAAATTAGGGGTGTGGTTCCTTTTTTTCGAGGGTGCCCCTTTCGGGTTGACACAAAGTTTAAACCATTCCCCCCCCAAAAAAAAAACAAAAACGCACCCATAGTTTAAAGGGGAAACCGCCTTCTTCTTCAGGGACTCCCCTGATTTTGAGTCACATAATTACCCAGCACCTACCCCGAGGTCTATTTGGTGGACCCCTCGGGTGGCGCCAGTTTTGACGCCACCACCGACGGGGGCGCTGCCAGCTGCATTTGCCACGTGGTGATCAAGGCCGCGGAAGAGCGGAAGCAAACGCTGGACCGACGCCCGCATTGAAGCTTATAATTATTATGGTTTATCATTACTATTATTATTAGTAGTAGTAATGACTATTATTATTATTATTATTGTTATTATTTTTATTTTTTACTATTGTTACTACTTTTTTTTAGTGTTATTGGTATCTTCTTTTTAGACTAATATTGTTTATATATAATGGAAACCCAGAAGGGCCTTTTCTTGCTGGTGCTCAGTACGGGATCTCGGAATGACCCCTGTAAACCATCCCTTGTGGTTTCCTGGAAGCAAACCCCTGGGTTCATTCCCTCATTCCCTGCTGAGCACCAGCAAGCTTTGAGATCTCCACCCCATCAATGGAATTAAGAAAGGATGACCAAAACTGGTCGGGGGCCCTCCTAAAGTAAGGGGATTTGTTGGGTGTGAATCATGGAATCTGAAGTGGTTGAACCGGAGTTTGTGTCCACCGACCACTTTTGAAGAAATGAATTCCCTATCAACGGGCCCGTTCTGCCAATCTCAGCCTTTGCAGCAAGAAGGGAAGCGTCCATTGATTTCGATGCCTGAAGCGGATCGGGTCCCATCAGAGGATTAGTGGGGACTCGCAAGGAGAGCTTCGAGGGGATGGTTTTGAGACCTTTTGGGTCATTCTTTGGGCTACAAAAAGAGAACACTTTAACCTACCTGCTGGTAGTTTGTTTCTTGTTTTTTTCCGATCCTTTTTTTTTTTGGCATCTAACATCATGACAAACATTACTTGGTGGCAACTCCCTCGCCCGAACACGGAGCGCTTTTTTTTTTTTTCTTTTTCGCGCTGCGCCGAGGCATCGCCAGCCAGATCAACTGGAACAAGCACGCTTTGGGCTATTCGAACTGGAAGGAGCAGTTCCGAAGCGCGATTTTCATGGCCGAGGACGAGGATGACGAGGGCGCAGGCCAGTGATGTGCTTGAATACGAGTTTGTGAGTCTCCCACGTCGCTGGTGTTCCTTTGGTTTCCCTGTTGTTTCCCTGTTGTTTCCCTGGTGTTTCCCTGTTGTTTCCCTAGTGTTTCCCTAGTGTTGCCCTCTTGTTTCGTGTTTTTTCCACTTGAACCAAACTTGGATATGGGGCGTGTGACTCCAGTCGTTGCTGTACGTAGCGTTTTTTTTACCGTTTGATCCGCGCAACATGCTGACTTTCGAAGGATCAAGTCTGGCCAAGCAACATGTTCAACCAACCTGGGTGAGACGTGTCCTGGTTTTCAAGTTTCTCGTGCCAACCAGTCAAAGTGCCCGCCTGTCCGGTGAGGGTCCCTGGTAAAGGAACATAGTCTTCCAGGACCTCAGTCAGGTTCCATGTTAATGGGCAGCAGGGTACATACACCACGGCTTGTTGAGATGTCCTCTAGCCAGCTGATTTCTTGTTGGCAAAAGAAGACGGTGGTTCTTTCATTGTAGGGATCCATAATTCCAACTGATTTGCGCAGAACCGTAGAAGACTACTTTCCTTTTGGGGAGGCCCCCCTTGTTCGCTTTCATGATTGGACAGAGGGTGGCTCACCTCAAAGTTTGCGCGTTTGGCGCTGAAAACGCCTTGGCAGGCCCTTCGAAGCTTGACTACTTGATGCATTTCCTGGGTATGCCATGGAAGCATTGCCAGGCTTAGCTTACCTTTTGAACGTTTTTCTTGTTTTTTGTTTTTGCTTTTTCTTCATGCGACCCCTTCATCAACAAGCAGAAAACAGTTCCTTCAAGGATACTGTGCATTTCTGCTATGTTGTTTTTTAAACATCACCTTAACCCGCTGTTTCAATGGTGTTTTTTGGGGCACCCTGAAAAAGGCATCCCATTTTGCAGCAGGCCCTTCTGTCTTTTTCCGCTAAGGAAGTTCATTTTTGCCTTCATTCCTCCGGTGGACTACTGCCATGGCTGGGTGTGCTTCTTCCTCGCCCTGGGCATGATTGCAGTGCTTACCGCCATTGTGGGAGATTTGGCGAATCTGGTCGGCTGCGCCCCGGTTGCGCAAATGTGTTGGTTGAGGCTCGGTACCCTGTTGGTTCAATCAGCAACCTCTCTACTGGAGGACCTAGTCAAGGGAGGGTTTCTCAGGAAATTTCTTGAACTTAAAGAATCCGAGCTGAGTTTGGAGGTGCAGTGGCATTGTTCCGAAATGGTTCCTTTCTCGTCTCTCATTCGCATTCACCCCACACTCACTCTTCATCTCTTCGCAAAGGTGAGATAAGCAGAATGTTCAAGAGACACTCACTTTTACCTGACTTTCGTTTCACCAGCATGGGAATGCGCCGAACACATTTTCCTGAAGTCGCCCAGCAGCCCACGCCAAGCCTCAACCCATGCCCTGCTACCACAAACGCACCAGCAAGTACCGCAATCAATCTGAAGATTGTTTGCTCTGAATCAGTGTCACTCGAAACGTTGTTCAGAACACCTCGGAAGACTCTCTCTAATCAAAAGGGCACCCAGGGCAAGACTGACGATCAAGTCGCCTTTTGACACGCTTGATCGCATGGCCAGCCACAAGCGCCCAGAGAGAAATCAAGACAAGCTGGGGACAAATCATCGGACATGTAGAAATTTAAGGACAACTGGGGATAAGCCCTTATCAAGCCCCTAATAAGGCCTTATTTGGGGCTTATTGGTGTTCCCTCCCCCCCCCTCCCTCCCGCCCCAGCCCCATGAAGGACAACTGGGGGGGGAAGTATTTGAAGTTACACCGATTTGGCCCGGACTCCTTGGCTTTTGCTTTTTTTGGAAGACGCCATGGTTTTCCGCGAGCCAGGCAAAACAAACCTGATTTTTTGGTGTTGTTATTTTTTTTTGCAAACCCCCCCATGATTTGTCATTAACCGGGCAACAAAAACATGATATTGTATTTCCTCAGGCTTTTTTTGGTGTGTGTGTGTGTGTGTTTGCTGGGGTCCAAATACTCCAGTTCCATTGAGATTTTGGTTTTTGCTTTTTTGGGGTTCCCATGGTTTTTCCACTAACCAGGCAACACATACATGTTTTTTGTTGTTGTTCTTGTTTTTTTTGGAAGACCCCATGGTTTTCCAGTAACCAGGCCAAAACCATGATATATAAATATGTATATATATATATATGTATTTTTTGCAGTGGTCCGCATTTTCCGGTGCCATAAGGCACTTTGAACATCGGCCCGGAGATCACGGCCATCACCTTCGTGGCCTTGGGCACCTCGCTGCCGGACACCTTCGCCTCCAAGACCGCGGCGGTGATGGATCCCTACGCGGACGCCTCCCTGGGCAGCGCGGCAAAAGAAGACGAGAGGCGGTTGCTCATTGAGTCTCCCTTGAAATCAACCTGAAAAGGGTACCCAGCAAGAAAAAGCCAACAGAGCACACACACACACATATGGCTGTGGTTGTCAAAACCCATGGGATCCCATTTTGGTGGGTTTTCGGTGCATTCACCACCCGTTTCGGAACATATTTTAGTGGGGATTGAATCGGATGTTCACTGGGGGTACGGGATTTTGACCCATGGCCACATGGGTGTCACTTTATAGGAATTCATTTGTTCAAATATAGATGGGTTCCACTGGTTTACCTCTGATTCATAAATGGCCCCCCCAAGGTCCACAGGTGCCCTTTATAGGATTAGTTCGTGTAAAAATAGATGGCACTGGTTTGGATGGGGTTGATTCCATTTACCAGGGCCCTTTATAGGTTAGTTACTTCCCCGGAATTTGTTCCCCTTTGTATTTTTGTTGGCTTTTTTGGGGTTCGCTTTGTTTTCCACAAACCAGGCAACAAACATATATTTTTTGCAGGGGTCCTAATTCCAGCCAAGTTTATAGGTTAGTTTGCTTAAAAAGTAGATGGGTTCCACTGGTTTAGATGGGGTTTGTTCAACCTTTACGAGGGCCGTCTATTTTCCAAAAGGCCACCTATGAATGTCCACCTCTGATTCATAAGTGCCCCCCCCCCCCGCATTGCGCTCAACTAAAGTTAAGGGGGGAATTTCAGGGTAGTTTAGTTAGGGATTAGTTAGGTAGGGAATGACCGTTCCGGGTGTTGGGAATGAACCTGGGGATTCCCGAATAAAGGACACCAATGGTTGGATGGTTCACAGGGATCATTCCAGCCAGGGAAGAAAGAATGTGAGAATGCTACTGGCTTTGATCTTGAACCTTCTGTTTGTGAAACTTGGTGGTTCCCAGCCATCCCCTTAGCTGTTCAGGGTTTAATGGGGGTTTCCATTGAACCCACTTGTTTTTTTTTAAACGTTTAGCAGGGATCTAAGCACAGCCCAGGAAAATTTGATGGTTGTCCCAACTGCAAAAAGTTGAAAACAACTTGTTGGGTAGGGATTTGGGGTGCTCGAGCAAAAGACCATTCCCAGAGGCTTCTACACGTATACAATGAGTTTTTAGAAAGTGACCCTGAAAAAAGTCCCTGTCATGGATAGCATCCACTTCGCAGCGATCGGGATGGATGCAGCCCCATGAATACTTGGAAGAACCGCCTACCAACTGGTGCGGTATTTTGTCCATCCACCGACTGCCTATGTTGTGGATTTGAGCTCACCGATGCGGGGCAGAAAGGAGCGACCGCCATGATGTAGGTCTTTTGAACGGTCTCCATTCTTGCTTCCGGTTTTCGAATTCTTGTAAAAGATGCAGATAGGTGTCCCTGTTAGGCGGACCTGGTCGAAAATGCATGATTTCACAGGTTTTAGTAGTTATATTTCAATCTGTTACCAGTAATTACCATCGTTTGTTCAGAAAGCTGTTCTCAGATTGAGTTGAGTTCGTCATTTGCCAAGTTTATTCCATAGGTTGCTGAACGTATGCTTCCTTGTAGTTTGGTTGGTTGTGTGTCTGTGTTTTCCTAGTGTGAACTATGTGTCCCTGGAGTCTAGGGGGGGGGTTTCCACCCTTTCAAGCGCTGTCCTGTTTGTGCCATTGTCTTGAATGCATGTTCCCTGGAAATGGGGAGGGCAGGTTGCACCCGAATGGCAAGGCTATGATCTGGGCAAACTGTTGCGAGCTCAACTGGGGATAAAACGAACACGTGGGTCGCTTCTTTGGGCTCCAAATCTTGATCTAGGATTTGACCATATGGGTGTATCTGTTGTTTAGGGCACCCCATTTTGAGTGGTTTTAAATGGAAACAAAACAAATAGAGTTTCCTGCGGGTTTCCCTTCAAACCAACCTAAGAAGGGTACCCTGAAAAAACAACTCCTGTTGGTTTTCCTTTGAGCCAATCTGACGAGGGCATCCCCCCACCAAAGCAACCTGCTGGTTTCCCCTGGGGCCAACCTGCAAATGGTTCTAGGGGTACCTTCCCCATTCTTTCCAGGGATCCTTCTTTTCTAGAAAACCTCCGGAAACCGAGGGAAAGCGGCCGGTTTTTGGAAAGAACGATGGTTGAAAAGAATGGGGAATCAACCCCTAGAATGGTCTCCCAACAATAAATATGTGCAACACCAAAAATCAGAATTGACCTATGATTGGCATTAGGCAACGTCACGGGATCCAACTCGGTGAATGTCTTCCTGGGCCTTGGCATGCCTTGGACCATTGCGGCGGTGTATTGGTCCACCCTGGGCGACGGCGAGGCTCTGAACGTGTGGAACCTCGACCAAGTAGACGTTTTTTTGTGTTGGCGTGTTGTTGGCTTTCCTTTGTTTGTTCGTGTGTGTGTGCTTGTTGTCGGGGTACTTATGTGTTTGTTTGTTTGATTGGTTGCTTGTTTGTTTGGTTCGGTTTGGCTTGTTTTGGCTTGGCTTGGTTCGGTGTGGCTTGGTTTGGCTTGGTTCTGTTTGGTGGGTTGTTTGCTAGCTTGCTTGCTTGTTTGCTTGGTTGCTTGTTTGCTTGTTTGCTCGTTTGTTTGTTTGTTTGGTTTTTTGCTTGTTTGTTTGTGTGTTTGTTGTTTGCTCGTTTGTTTGCTTGTTTGCTCGTTTGTTTGTGTGTTTGTTGTTTGCTTGTTTGTTTGTTTGTTTGTTTGTTTGTTTGTTTGTTTGTTTGTTTGTTTGTTGTTTGCTTGTTTGTTTGTTTGTTTGTTTGTTTGTTTGTTTGCTGGCTGTGTTTGTTGGTCCGTTTGTTTGTTCGTTCGTTTGTTTGTCTGTCTGTCTGTCTGTGTGTCTGTGTGTCTGTCGGTCTGTTTGTTGCGTATTTGTGTTTGTTGTTGGTCCGTTTGTTTTTTCGTGTGTTTGTTTGTCTGTCTGTCTGTTTGTCTGTCTGCCTGTCCGTATGTTTGTTTGTGTTGTTTGTCTGTCTGTCTGCCTGTCCGTCTGTTTGTTTGCGTGCCTGCGTGCTTGCGTGCTTGGTTTGTGTTGGCAATCGTTGTGATTGCCTTCTGCAATGCTCGTTGTCTTGCTTTGTCATTGTCGCGTTTTTGCTTTGGGGAGATGGCTGGGGCCAAAGACACAAGCTCTGAAGCCGCCAGGAAAAGTAAGCTGGAGCCGGGCGGCGTGTACTACGGCGTCAGGTCTTCGGTCGAGGCGATTAGCGACCTGGACCGTGCCGTCTTTGTCACACCTGCTGGCTCCCTGTGGCTGCCCGGCAATCGGGTCGAGAGGGGCCAGGTCAGAGGTCAGAAAAGAAAACAACAAAAAAACGCAGGCGGCGTTGTTGCCGAGACATTCGGCGTGGTTTTTGCGATTCACTTTCAGTTGTATGATCTTCGAAGGGGGTAAACTGCCTGTTGACTCCTGGCAATGATGTTGGAAGCCGCGTACTGGCACGCTACCGCACACAAGACTTCTGAGCATCCAAGAGGAATATCCGACCCAGCTATCGGCTATGGTTGAGGACGTAACTGAGTACGGCTCACCGAGGTTTAACCTTTTGGTTTTCTCCTGCAACGCCCTGTGCGCCATCCTCCTCTTGTACTTGCGGAGGAGGAAGTTCGGGGGAGAGCTGGGCGGCCCCAGGCGTTGGCAATATGCCCCTCGGTGTATTGCCGGGTGCGCCTGGCTGGGTCAAATCCGAGCTTGCATACTCTTCATTGGAGCTCTGAGGAGACCCACTCCAAACGAGGGCACGCACAACAAACGAACAACAACCGAATATTCCCATGTTTTCGTTGGCGGTGTGGTTGGGTCAGTGGTGTTGGTTTGGCGGGTTTGGTCGTGTATGCTGCTGTGTAATTGCAGGTTGGACCATGGCTTGACCTTTTTGGCTGCTTGAAAAGGATGGGTTGGTGGCCAGTGGTGTTTGATGTCGAGGGTTGCGACAGCTAGTTCGGCTGTGCACGTCCAGTTGGGCAAAAATGATGGTTGGTGGGTCGGAGCGTGGCATCCTTCAGCCAAACATGTTGACTGCACGAGGTTTGGCCCGGCTGGCTTAAAAGACAATGGAACCGTTCATTCATTAAGCGAGGATACGAGCATTTGCATGCACCCGCAGGGCTGGTGTGCCATGTGTTTTCACCCGATAGCTGCTTGAAGAAGGGAACTGGGTGAAGTTGTTTCTTCAGGTTTCGGGCTGGCTCACATCATCTTCTAAGCAGTCAAGTTCAATTTGTGCTTACCTCTACCTCATTGGCTCCCCTTTTTGCTTTTTGCTTTTTTGGGGTCCCTTTGTTCTCCACTACCCAGGGAAAAAGATATTTTTTTGCTGGGGTTCTAATTCCAGCCTAGGAAAATGACACGTGCAAGGTCTGGGCGTTTTCCCAGTACTTCGGTCGAGGGAGGTGTCCATCTACCCGCTTTTTGTCGAATCATGGAAGCCCGGGGGAGGGCTGTTGTGAACCACCATCTCAGAGCGGTCCCTTCTTGGATAGGTTTTGTTTTTATATTAATCCCATTAAAAAAATAAAAAATAGCCACCATCAACTGGATAAGTTTCTCCAAGCTCCAAGCTCCCTCGCAGAAGGGAGCGCTTGCTGAGGCCAGTGCGGCTTTTCTGGGGTTTCAGTGGCTGGTGTACATCGGCGCCTCTTCCGCCTGGGCCTCCCTCCAATGAGGCGAACAGGTCCAGGTGTCACATACAAAGGCCGGGTGGCCGACGGTTCTGGGCACCCTTTCCGGGGCCGGGTCTTCGCAAGTCTTGTTGTGGAGCACCGGAGTTTATGGAGTCGTGCTGATGTTTCAGGTTTGCAACAGCCTTCCAGGGCTTCGCGTTGGCCCCTTGCCCTTAGGGTGTTGGCTCTTATGAGCAGGTCGGCGCCCCGGCTCGCTAGATGCAATTGTAGGGATTTATCACCGCCCAGCAGGCTTCATTGAAGCCTGCTGGGAATGTAGGGCTTTGCCGCCACCAATTGGTGCGTGCCGTGCCCTTCCAGTTTTATCGTTTGATTCCTTGGTTTCACGCGAGCCAGGGTTTGAAGCAAGGCATCGTGTACGCTAGGCGTTTAGCAGAGCTTGGACCCCCCAAAAACCCGAAGGACCAGTTGACCTCCCTGGCTCGTGGGCATGCGCTTCGGAGCCCAACGCGTGGCCATCCTCCCTTCATTTCTTCTAGGCAGCTACGGCGGAGTCAGGAGAGGCTTTGCATTTTTTGGGTAAAAAAGTGAAGGAAGCTACACCATGGAGAGTGTGATGATTGCAGCCGGGCCTAGCTTGAATCAGGCTGATTTGTCAAGTCCACGAGGGTTTGCATGTTCCATACTTAGCATCAGACAGTGCTGGACCCCTGGATTTATGTATCCTTAGGATGCTTGCTTGTGGTGGGCAACCCGGTACTGAAATGTCCCCCTGCGTAGCTCATGCTGTTCAGGATTGACCACTTACATTGGGCTTGGGTACAGCTTTGGCAGTGAAGGTCTGCTTTTTGGGAACGACTTCAAACAAGACCAAGACTGAAAGTGTGATTGGGGGAGTGGTAGGGGAATTTATAAATAGAGAGGCTTCCGCATATTTGCATCCTTTCTGCCGAAGGATTTCCACGGACACGCTGGGGTCCAAGCCCCCGACACGAATCTTATCTTGGGCAAAGCGCCCCGGGAACGAGCGCAGCCCATTTTTCCCCTCCCGGCTGGCCGGCATCCGGACGCCAGAACGAAGCCCGTGAACTTGGCATCAGCCCCTCGCGGGGTGGTTCAACAGGCCCCATGCCTTTACTCGTGTCACACAGCTGCCAGCTCACGCCCCGGCCAACGTCTGGCGGGATGAAGCTGCAAGGATTGCTCGCGAGAATGGGAAAAACTGATGGGAGCCCTGGAGTAGTAAATCCAGGTTGAGATTTTAGTGGGAGATCCTAGACTTTTGCCCCCCCCCCCCCCCCCCCCGAAAAGGCCCAGCATGGGTAGACCATTCCAGCATTCCAGGAAGGCAGGAGCGCAGCCAAACGCGACTATGGTTTGTTGGCTACGGGTCATTGGGCATTGAGGATTCTCGTTATTTGACGACTTGCCAAGGCAACATTGACAGTGTTGATGTCCACCAAGCCATTTGGGTTTCTTGAAAGGCACATCTCGCAGATCTTCACCTTGGGCCATGCAATCTTACGCCTAGGGAAAACTAAAAACCGGATCGTGTTTTTTGTTTAAATCAACCTGGTTGGAAACAATTTTGACTTTGTGATGGCAGCCTGCAGAACAGTCTGGTTGCAAGTGCTGAAGAGGGCAGCCTTGGGCCCCTTGGGCCTTTGAAACGCCGGAGACAACCTGAGCTCTTCCATGGGTTTGCATTTCAGGGAACTCGGTTCGCCGAGTCTTTGCCAGCCGCGCCCTCCTTGTCAACTGCATCCCGCAGACGAAATGCCCGTAAGCTGCGCTGCACAATCGAAGGGTGCGGGGATCCGTCGTCCGATGCCCTGCCGGTCCGCCTGCCGCATCGGCAGTTTGTGCGGCGCAAGCCGTGGGAAATGCAACTCTAGCACAACCTTTCGCTTGAATACGCCAGAGAGTCCGCTTGATTCAGATGCTCCGCCCGAGTTGCACACACCACACTGAAGTGATAGCGAATGGCAGCTTCCCGTGCACCAACTGGACAGATGCACTTGGACAGTTGGCGCTGCACTTCCGTCAATTGCAAACGCAAGAGCCAAAAAATGCGGCGGCTTCTGGTCGGCCAGGTTCACGAAGGAAACCCCTTTGTTGTTTTCCACTTGTGGCGCTTGTTTGAGATCTCAGCCACATCAATAGCACGGCATGCAGATGGACACGAAGCTGATATTATTTGTCGCATTTGCACCCGGCGGATGCCCCATTGCTTGCCCACTTTGTCCAACGCCATCTTGTGGGTGCGACTTCTACTCCCCCCCCCCCCCACACTTTTATTCACATCGGCCCGCGGTTCGAAGGACTCAGAACTCCTGGGAAGCGTTCATGGCTGCCGGCGCCGCCCTCGAATCCGACAGGTCTTTCGATGTTTGCTGGCGTCGTCATTGGTTGGAAGCAGCGGGTACTTTGTTTGAAGGAAAGGGCACAATGTGAAGCTTGGCTTCAGCGAGCCATGCGCAACTGCTCTTGAGAGTTCTTTCCGCTTCCGACCTTCGCGGCGTTCATGGCTTGCAGTTGGCGGTTCGTCTTGAGGCAGAAAGGGCCTCAGCAGATTCGTGTTTGTCAGGAACCCACGCCCGATTCCGCATGCTTTGGCAGATTCTGTAGATTCCAAGCCCAGCGGGAAGTCACGAAGACATACATTCACATGTTCACATGTTCAGTGGCCTGAGCTTGGCTTTTGCCTCTTTACGGAGCATAGAGCTTGCCAAGCGCAGTCCAAGCAGTCAGAGGCTCGCACCAGCCAACTGAGCTTCGAGGGCGGATGGAGCTGGGCTTTTGGAGCTGCTGCTGCAACGATGGCAACAGCGGGCTGTTGCTGAAGCAACGCATACCCGACGTTGCCCTGTTTCAAGCCTGCTCGCTTGAGGCAGGGAAGGTTCCTAGCCTTGCTTCCGCAACGCTAGGTATGCTGGGTGCTGGCACCCGAGTTTGGCTTGTGTCAAAGAACATGGGGGGGACAATGGTCTCGCAGTGAACAGCTATCAAAGGCGCCTCTTTTTCGCCGACCATTGGGCAAATGGAAGATGCTGAGCCCTGATTGAAGCCACCTCCCCCCCCTCCCCCCGCTCTCTCCACAATCAAGTACCCAAAACGGCCGATGGCCGGAGGTCTAAATTGATTCGGCTTGAGTCTTAGCGGCTTGGCTGGATATACCCTCTGGGTCGCAGGTTTTGGTTGGAAGCTTTGCCAGGCCATCAGGAAATCGCAGCAGGGGGTTTTGTGTGTTTTATTTTCTGGATGATTGAGACATGTCAATTGAGTTTGTTCTGCTTGAGCGACGTTGTTGGAAGGAACAACTGTTGGAGAGAGTAGGGAGCACCAAGCACTGTTTCATTTTGCAATGTGAGAAACATACCACTGCCTTTTGAACTGAACATGGAGCCTGAGGGAAGACTTTTCCCGAAAAGAGCTTCCTCCACTTGAAGAGGCCGGGTACGTAATTGGTTAGTCACCATGGTTATATCCCACTGGGACTTACACTCATAACTTTCATGGGTCAATTCCATGGTGCACCAACCACAGAAGGTACCTGTTTTTTATATCTCCCACTTTTATAGGGGACTTACCCTCATGGCCTATAGTATACATCCCCTCCCCCCCTTTTCGGCCAACTCGTGGGGGCCTATTTTCTGTTTTGTGCGGCCGAGTTCCCTTTTTTTCTCCGGAGGCCTGGTACCAGACGGCGGGCGGCCTGGTCACCCAGGTCCGCGGCTCCGCGGCGGACTTCGCGCTGCGCCTGGGGGCCTTGGCGCCCCACGGCCCCGCGGCCATCCTGCGCCACGGCCACGTGCGCGGCGACCCCCGGGAAGGCGAGCGACGGATGCGGACGGAAGAAGCGGCGACGGATGCGGGGAAGCGGAAGCGCTCGACCCACCTGGGGTTCAAGGGGAAAAAATGGGTGGTGTTTAGGAAGCCGCGGACGACACGGTGGAAGAAGCGAGGTTTCTTTTTTGTTGTAGTGGAAATCGGCTTGTGCCATGATGCTGGCTGGTTCTTTTCTTGGGAATTCACAGGGGTTTGGGAATGAGCCCACGCATTGCCATACAGGAAGGTGCAAGGGATGTTTTATAGGGGTCATTCTTGGCAAACGAACGAGCTCTGGTCGGAAGAAGCTCATGAAGTTCTTCAGGGGATTTGTGAATTCTCGTTTATGCAATTTGCCCAACGTGTGTCTGAAGGGATGAAACACCCTCTGGATGCATTGCCGACCCGCAGGCGACCTGTTTGTCAAGGTTTGGGAAGATGGAATGATTTGCGACGTGAGCTTCTAGTTTGCTTTTTGCTTGAGAAGGTACTCAGCAAATTGATCAAGATGTCCACTGCTTTGTAGGCACTCAGCGTTTTGCTGGCTTCCGCTTTTGGTGCAAACCGTGAAAAATCAAAGGCCACTCTGACCTGGTTTACTCAAAGTTAGTGACATCGGGTTCAAGGCGCTTTTCTCAGTCGGAACTTGCGGGCATGTTGCAAAGGGACTTCAGGCTGCCGGGGGTTGGGATTGGCAGCTCGGATCACCGCTCAACGGCTCGGAAGGGCTCGGCTGATTTTCCTGTGTCCGCGTCACAGCGAGCAGTCTATGCCAAAAACCAACCACTTGGATTCCGGATCTGGGGCATCTTGGCGGTTTTCCATCCCATGTTTCCCTGACCTTGTGCTCAGCTCCCGTATCTTGGCCTCCGGTCAAAGTTGTGCCCAGGGCCGGATTCGCTCATTCGAATCCGCGAATTCGAATGCGGAGGCCTGCCCAGCGACAGCTTGGTGGCGAAGGTGCTGACGCTTGAAAAAGCGCAGCTGGGCGTAAAAACCAGCGGGTCCTGTGGGGCCCGGCCAGTCACTTTGCGACCCGTGCCCGGGGGTACGGCGAAAAGGGCCGGAGGCATTCGGCTTTGCGAATTCACCCCGGCTTTGGGGCAATTTGGGGCTTTGGGGCTTTGGGGCAATTTGGGGCACATGAGCGGCTTTCTGAAAAAGTGGGCAGCCTCGTCGGATTGGCGCGGGGCATGGCTCCGGATAGGCCAATGCATGTGCCAAAGCACATGTGGGAATTTCCTCGATGGCTTCCTGTTGGTTTCCATTTGCGACCGCGCTGGAAGGGGCCCCCTCAAACCGACATATAACATATACTTGTAATTACACAGGCCACATCTTCCTATCATTGCGCAGGGCCTCTATTGCGCATGGCGGCTTTTTTAATCGAATCCAAACTTAGGGTTGTTACTTGAGTGGGTGCAATGGGTTGCGCCTTCCACGTACGGAAGGAGGGGTGGAAGGAGGCTAGGGCACCTATCCCCAAGCACAAGGATGAGCTGTTCACCTGAAATCTCCGACGCTGCACCTGCTTCCAGATAGAAATCAATCATTCCGTTGGACGAAAAAAGCAAACGGCGAGCACGACATACTTCATGAATATAATATGGGGGCTTTGCCCTCCGTCCGGCACAGAGACAGTCCGGCACAGAGACAAACAGAGGGGGCCCGACCCGGCAAAAATGGGAATCATAGAGGTCCTTGCATGTCCCATGGCTCAATTGTCACCTTGTTGACCATGTGCAAGTCTTGCTTTGGTGCGCTTGAAACGGCACATATGGCTGTGGGTCAAACCAATGGTACTATGTTGGGGTAGGTGCACCACCCTTTTTAGTCTATTTTAGTGGGGATTGGCCCATGGCCATATGCAGACCCCGGGTTTGAGTAAGCCCTGAGGAAAGATCTTCTGCAGCAAGTGGCGGAGGAGAAGGTGCCCAAAGTGAGCACTGGGGAGCTGAGCGGGCTGTGGACGTTGCAGGCTTACGTTGAGCCACGCCCTTTGGCCGAAACACGAGGGCCCGGGGATGGGAATGCGAGATTTCTGTTAGGACCCACATGACCGCAGATGTCAGATGATGGGAAAACTGAGGTGCCACTGTTTGAGCCAGCCGTCTCATCGTAGCTTTGCTTGTGGGGTTGAAGCTCTTCTTCCTGCACTTCTATCCGAAGACACGTCCCTGCCTCCCAACCAGCAACCACCAAGAACCCAAAAAAACAGAAGCTCCCTCTTCAAATTCACACGAAGCATGAGCGTTTCCCGATGGTTCGTGGGTTGAGGGATTGATCCATTCTGGGCAGCTTGCTCAAGGCACAGCAGCGAAGATGACACGATCTTTTCTCCGCGGATCGTAGGGCTACCGTGGGTTGATTTGTGATTGATCCATTCTGGGCCTGGCCAAGGGCACAGTGCTACGGGCACAGCGGTTGATAAACTAGGTGTTTCAGCAGTGCCCTTTTACCCTTTTTTGTGGGAGGGTTCCCCTGCCAAAATAGACTACAGAAGAAAGGGTGCCCTTATTCTAACCTCTCAAATCTGGAGGAGTAATCTTTTTCCCGGGCCGCAGGCTACGGTCTCCGGATCATTTCGGCCTACCACTGCAACAGCTACCTCGAGGAGCGGAGCGACATCTTCTCCCACCGCTTCCGCGGGCTCTACCCGCCCCCCAACGCGGAGATCCCAGTGCCGGACGGGGCCAAAGATTCGCCCAAGGAGTTGGAGACCCCCTACCGCCAGGCGCGGTATGGGAAATGAGGGTTCTACCCTTCCACGTTGGCATCGCACCTCAGCGAGGGTACCTGGAAGATCAAATTCCTTTTGGAACCCCCGGTCAGGTGCCATGTAAGTGGGGAGAGAGGGTATCACATTCTGAGATAAAGCCCCTGAAAGTGACAACATGGACAACTAGTGGCACATTTCGGTATCACAGCAAGTCAAAATATCCATGCGTTGTGATTCTCTTGAGTTGGTCAACGGCCCAACGAATAAAAGGACAGTGCCCTGCGATTCTCTGTGGCTGGATAAGAGTCAACACCTGGAGTATGGGCGCCAATGTGAACTGTGTGCGCTAATCCGGTCCCCAGCCCCACCCCTCCCCCCCCAACCAACCCTCCCCCCAGTCCTCTTCGGTCATGTGTCCCAGGTCAGCAGGACAATTCCCTAGTTGACATTGGCTTAGAATTGGCCTGTTCTAAATTTAGTATTGGCAACTTTGGATTTTGGAAAACCATGATTTATTATTGGGGGGACGTATTTATTAGCAAGAGCATATTGTGCATTACTGATCACATTGTTGCACATGGGGCTTTATATGTCAACATATGATTCCATGCATCGGACACTTGGGGTTAGAAGAGTATTAATAGTTGCAAATATGTTAAGCCTCGGTCACGTGGCCACCAGATCCCTAACAGGTGTTCAGCGAACGTGTGCAATATGTGAGTGGTGAAGCCAACGTGTTATGAAGCCAACGCGCATCCACCACAGCCACATTTGGTTTAAACGGTGGAGGAGTTACGCTTGCATTGTGCAACGGGGTCGGTTAATGAAGGCAAGCCTAACAACAAGTCAGCAAGCCCGCCTACTGCTAACCAAGGAAGCTTTGCGGTTCGACTATAAGGGGCGCAACGGGTAATATCGTTGCACGTCGTGGTTTTGGCCATGCACGATGGCTTTTGCCCAAATGTCATGCTCCTTCAAAGGGACCCCCCCCAGAGTCTGGTTGATGTCCCCCTCCATCCCATCGATCACGTCTTGCAGGCCATTGAGTCCAAGACCCTTGGAATCGCGCGATTTGCGCACAAGTTTCACCAGCTGGACCTGGATGGCATGGTCCTGGAATTCATTTTCGACCTGCAACTCTGATGGTATGTGTCCATTGCTGTTTTTTGGTTGCCCCAAACATTGAACCGCGTGTTTTACATCGATTCCTAGCGCGTAGCCTGCTAAGAGGATGTGCCATTGATATGGTTTAATGTGGTGCACCCTGCCATCTACTCGATGGTTGGTATGCGGGGCTTTTGGGGGCTGACGGCACGCTGTCCGGGGCAGTCAGGTTTCCTTCATGTCCAAACCAGCCCAAACAGCACAAAAAAGAAAACACATATTATTTGGGTTTTTTTTGGCTTCTGATTTGGCCTTTAGCCGAGGCAAGGTCGGATCGTTCTGCACGGCTGCTGGGCTTTCTCCATCTGCGACCGCCCGCGGCGCGCCGCGCCCCCAGGAGCGCAGGTCATTTGGCAGCAGCCGCGGGTTCATAGCGTGCCGCGCCCGGAAGAGCCAGAGCAGGCGGGCCGTGAAGGGGAAAGGCGGGCTTGGCTGGTTGAAAGAACCAGCCTGTCGCCCCCATCAGTTTAAGCTTAAGTCTCTACATTTGGAGAACTATATATATATATATATATGTATATATATGTGTGCTTGTGCGTGTGTGTGCGCGCATGTGTTGTATATGCGTGGATATATACATATATAGTTTACAGTATATATATATATTATTATTTTGTACAGATATACATATATATATATATATAGACAGAAAGGCCGTTAATATAGGGAAACGAGCAAACGGTGTGCTGAAACAATTGGATTAGCTTAAGCATGCTTAAACCAGGGCTTGGCTCATCCAGGCTTCTGACTGTGTTTGTTTCTCCGGGGAATCCGTTTTGTGTTTTTGGTTTGAGAAGGCCAGATGCAGGCGCCTCCAGGCTCGCAAGCGAGAGAGACGGAAACGCTGGCAAAAAAAACCTCCGGGGGCCAAAGAAAGGTGGTTCTGCTACCTGGTTCAATTGGGGTTAGTAAAGCATGTATAAACCTTTTAAAATCATGAACCAAAAGTTAATGGGGTTTGGGCAATCAATGCTGCAGAAGCTGTCCATTGGTCACCTGCTGCTTGATGTTTGCCAACGAGAAATCGCGCTGTCCTTTGTTGTTTGCCAGTTCGCTGTGGGCGCCTGGCAATTCGTCCACTTTCACATCCGTCGTGACAGTCGAACGAACGACTCAAGAGGTCATTGAAAAGCTTCTTGATTGAAGCAATTTGTAAACCAAAGGGCTTCCTGCCCAAAGTCTCACCCGGTGGTAAACAAGCAGTTTAGACTTTTTTGGCCAATCAACGCAAAAAGTGAGAAGTGAGCAACTGATTTACATGTCAGGCACGGGGAGGGTTTAACTGTTCTGAAGGCAGCGCAGCGCGGTGCAGTACGGTAACCGATAAATGACTAAGACAGGAAGCTGCACATGCTCTCTCTCTCTCTCTCTCATATATATATATATTGATTTTGTTTGTGCATGCATATATGTATATCATCTGTCTGTCGATGTATATATGTGTATATGTATACTGTAGATGTCTTCAAATATCATCGGTCAATCTCAGGATAGGTGTAGAGGATCGGTGTAGACAACTCAGGGGCCATGTCGGAACCTTGCTGTAGATGTTTATTTCTCACGATCCGGTTGGGGTGCCATCCCTTCAGTGCGGACGTTGTTCGTAAGATTTGCCGCTGTTCATCTCATACGAGCTGCTGCCTGCCCAATGCCCCAAAACAGCGCATGCATGTCGTACAATACTTGATGACCCGTGTGCCCATGGAGCCACGGCTCTGGGCAGTTTCTCACCAATTCAGCTTGTCAAGTCTTCTCGGCCGCTCGCTAATTACCATGGTTTTCCCTCTGAAGGGATGGAAAACCCTTTAGATAGGGAATCTCCCAAAGTAGACCTTTGAGTTCTTTTGTCAACCACCCCCGCCGCTCACATGATAAATGTGCCCCTCAACCACCAGCCCCAAATGTTGCCCTCAAAAACACACGCAAGAAACAAATCACCCCTCAACCGTTGCAATGCACCAGGTGCCGAAGATCCACACCCCGCCGCGGCCGCGCAAAGCGGCGGACCCCGCACAGCTCCTTTTGGAGCACCTCGACACAGTTTGGCCACTGAGGACCGCCGAAAGTGGCAATTCCCGTCCCAAGCAAAGGGCATGACCAGACCACGACCAAACCAACATGATGAACAACAATGGAGTTGCGCCATGTACAGTCGAGATCGGTCACACCCAACTCTGGGTGTTTTACTTGGGATCCAATTCATATGGAATGAGCTTGCAGTATGTACGAATCCATATGCGTAGATTTCGCAGAATGGTCAACACTGGGAGTGTAGGGCCAGCTTGTGCGATACTTTTTCGCAGCACGGTGATTCCACCCAATCGCGTGTAGCGGGGGGCTCACCGTGGGTAAAACGAGCTCACAATGAAGGTTTCTTGATTGAGTCTTGGGGGGTTTCCCCGCAGGTCCGGTTTTGGAATCCTTGTTAGTTTG